TTTCTCATTGGTACTGGTCAGTGAGAAGTATCCCATGCAGGTCATGTTTGTGTCTAAACCCATTTTAGAATAAACAATTAGAATTACAATAGCATTCCTTCACATTAATCATTTCTATATTGAGTAGATGAAGTACATTTAGCATGTTTATCTGCCATAAAGATTTAAACAATTTGCAATTTACATAGAGTATCAAATACTAATTAATCAACCTCAGATACTAATCACTGAAACTAATCACTGAATAATACAATGATAACACTTTAATAACTGTTTTTTCTTGCTTTTCAGTTTCTGGACAAGGTCTTTGAAGGAGGGGGGTGTATATACAGTATGCCTTTGGTACCAACATACAGTATACAGTATGCCTTTGGTACCAACATACAGTATACAGCCTTAAGTACCCACATATGTGGATATTAGCCATATGGACATAGATAAACAAATATGGACAAGGAAGCCCTGAATCAGATTCTCCCATGGATTGAACTTTTGTCAAGTATCAAAAATAATGCAATTGATTTGATTGACCTGTGAATACCTATTTTCAGAAGAATATTTATTTTCATGGACTTCGAAATTAAACTATTCCAGAGAATCTACCAATGTCTCTGCCTTCTGTATGTATTTTTACATTACCTAAGTGAATGAATACTCAAGCGGTATATAACTTTGACTGTTAATTTGAATTTTTGACCTACCCTATGTTTGAAAATCAAGGATTGCGAGGCTCATACTGTACCATTCCATTCTAAGTATAACAACAATGCCTTTGTATTGGTACATTATTCTGTTATACAGAGTCCCTACTTTCAGCAGCATTTGGGTCCCCAGCTGTGAGAATGGCTTCTCACAGCTGGGTACCAAAAGGCTGCTAAAAAGAGGGACTCTTTACAATAAAGCAATGCACCGACAGATTGGCAATTTTGTTTTGCTTTAAATAGAAGAATTTTTAAGAAAAACGGTGCAGTATGAGACTCACCATCCTTGATTTTTAAACATCTGGTAGGTCAAAAATTCGTGATACTGCTTTCCCATTTTGAATTGCAAAACTAGTATCAATTTATCCGATTCATGAGCATTGAGCATGAGTTAAATAGCAACTTAGTTAAATCAAAATGTTGCAAAAATGCTTGCATTATCAGGGGTTTCACTACAATTTCTCACAACTGGCTAAATAAATGAAAACAACAGGCAAAATTAATGGAAATCATAAATTTAACATGGAAAAAAGTGAAAAGTCCCTAAAAACAACAGTGAAAACAACGGTAAAAATTGCCCTGTTGCCTGCTGCTAATGAAATCTAATGAAAATTAGATTTTCAGAGACTATATTTATACCATCTGATGGTTAGAAATAGTTGACATTTCATCTATCAGCCTTTTTCATTATATTTTTTTACATTTTTTTTTATTTTGCCCTTTGTAATAACAGCGTTAACATCGTGCATTCAACTTTTTACTTTTCATCAAATACTTTTTCAAATATCAATAAATAACACTTGATCTACAGCAATGTACTTCTTTCAGTTCTAAGGTTATTATACCCTGATAACATACAATCTACGAATATGAAATGTTGCCCTTTGTGATTTCAATGAGAGTTTAAGCATAATAGTGGACTTTCAACTTTTTACTTCACATCAAATACTTGTTCAAATAATCAATAAATAACACTTGATCGACAGCAATGTTCTTCTTTTAGTTCAAAGGTTATCATAACCCGATAACATACAAGCTATGAATATGAGTTCTGAGAACTGATTATAATAAAGTCAACATGCAAAAAGTTGTGCGTCATTTCAAAGTACATGAATCCAAAGTAAATTTCCTTAAATAAAGTGGGATTACTGATTCCAACAAGAACATATAGTTAACTCTAATCCTTCACCAAAGGACATACAATAGGACAATAAAATATTGCTGAAAATATCAATTAAATTTAAATCAGGAAGTTGATTTTCAAGAACATTGTACCAATATACAAAATGGCATCAGCTGGAGACCGTTTCAAGGCAGGCCTCATTTGTGGATTGTGCCAAGATATATTAACTGACCCAAGGATGCTGCCGTGTATGCATGTTTATTGTCTGAAGTGTCTACACCGTCTGGTTGAGAAGAGTAAGCTTCGGGGAGAATATTTCAATTGTCCAGAATGCCGACAGGAGTGTATCGTACCACAAGAAGGGGTGAGAGAGTTCAAGGTGAGCCCTACAATTTCATTCTTGGTTGAGGCCTATAAGGACAGTAACCAGACCCAAGAACCTGAATGTACCACATGTCGTGATAACCAAAAGAAGCATACCCCAGCTACCACCCAATGCCTTGATTGCAACAAAAGGCTGTGTGCCACTTGTCTACTGTTTCATGACTCATTCTCTCAAGGTCATAAAGTAGTTGACATTACTGGGGATAAAGCTAATGACCTCAAGACAGCACTCCAGTCCATAAAAGAGCGCAGTGTATTCTGTGAGAAACATCCAACAAAACCAATGGAGCTCTTCTGTAAAGTTGACAAAAGAGTGCTTTGTCACCTGTGTTACCCAATAGACCATGCAGGTCATACTTGTGAGGACATAAAAGAAACAGCTGTCAAAAACATGAAGCCTATTGGTGCAGTTATCACACAGGGTAAAGGACTTGCAGACATGTATGAGAAAGCTATTGAAGAAACACAGGCTTATAAATGTGAACTGGAGAAAAATGCTGAAAATGTCATTGCTGCTGTTAACAATGATATGAATGTTTTGATGCAAGCAATCCGTGTCAAGTGCAAGTCCTACACAGATTTGGTTCAGAAAGAAAAGGAATCTAACGTGAAGCAAGTTTTGTCCCATATTGCTCACCTGGAGCTTCAAAAAGCCATTACAGAGGGTCAAATCAACAAGTACTGCACAATGGTAGAGCATGGTCACCCAGTAGAAATAGCAGGCCTGGGGGAACAGACCAGTAAGAAATCAGAGGAGTGGTCTAAGCAACCCAAGCTGCACTTGAACTCCAGAATTGATATCAAATTCACAGATGGTAAAGTCAATGAAGATGGGGTGCAGTTTGGAAGAGTACAAGTAGAAAAGATACATGCAAAAGATGAGCTGAAGCCCTTGTGTGAGCCCTCTGAAGAGCACAGAGAACTACAAGAACATTGTATATTTGACATCACAGTTACGCAAGCTTGTGATTATGTAACAACAGGCAGCTTATATGGTACATCCAAAATATATGATATAAACTTTAAATTAAAAAAAGATATAGGAAAGAAATTCTCTAATCTAACAATGATATCTGATAACAACCTGGCCTTTACAGATCGGTCAAACACTATCAGAGTCCACCTTCCAGATGGTACCCACAAGAGAGATATGGTATGTAAAGGTTTATCAGAACTATGGGGCATAGCAATGAACACAACATCAGGAAACCTACTAGTCTGTGATAGGGGCACCAAGAATAATGTATACCACATTGATCCTGCAACAGGTGATACAGTTTATCAATATCCACCAGGTACATTCAAAGATCCTCTGTATGTGGCATGCAACAGCAAGGGTGTGATCCTGGTGAGTGACTTAGGAGCCAACTGCATAAAGGGATTTGACAAGCAAGGAAAGGAGGTGTTCTCTTATGGTGAGGAAGAAGATGGAGATCAACAGCTGTCTGGTCCTCGTGGATTATGCACTGATGCAGGTGACTATATATTTGTTGCAGACTATGGCAATATTCGTGTTCATCTACTTAGCCCTGATGGAGACTTTATCAAATATGTTCTGACAGAGAAGGATGGTTTAAGTGGACCATGTGCTGTTGCAATCCATGATGGCAAACTCCTGGTGGGGGATGAAAATGGGAACCTCTTCACTGTGAAATACAGAGAATAAGGTAGGCATAATGTTTTATAGTGGTCATGTTCACGTCAATCTGATTCACAGTACATACATGTATACTTTAATTGCTTCCTACGCTGTCCTTTGTAATTTCTGATGGGTTCTGGTCAGTGAGAAGTATCCCATGCAGGTAATGTTTGTGTTTAAAGCCATTTTAGAATAAACAATTAGAATTAAAGTAGCATTCTTTCACATTAATCATTCTTATCTTGAGTAGATGAAGAACACAGAGAGGGGGTAGGGGGCTTATATGCCATAAAGATTTAAACAATTTGCAATTTACAAATACTAATTAATCAACCTCAGATACTAATCACTGAAACTAATCACTGAATAATGCAATGATAACAGTCTATTAACTGTTTTTCTTGTTTTTCAGCCTCAGAACAAGGTCTTTGAAGGAGGGGGATGTATATACATGTACAGTATGCCTTTGGTACCCACATGTGGATATTAGCCATATGGACATAGATAAACAAATATGGACAAAGAAGCCCTGAATCAGATTCTCCCTTGGATTGAACTTTTGTCAAGTATCAAAATTAGTGTAATTGATTTGATTGATCTGTGAATACCTATTTTCAGAAGAATATTGTTTTTCATGGACTTTGAAATTAAACTATTCCAGAGAATCCATCAATGCTTCTGCCTCCTGCATGTATTTTCATATTACCTAAGTGAACTTATTGCTTTCCCTTTTTGAAATGCAAAACTAGTATCAATGCGTCCAATTCATGAGCGTGAGCTAAATACCAACTAAGTTACATCAAAATGTTTCAAAAATGCTTGCATTATCAGGGGTTTCACTAGAATTTCTCACAACAGGCTAAATAAATGAAAACAACAGGCAAAATTAATGGCAAAATTAATGGAAATCATTAGTTTAACATGGAAAAAAGTGAAAAGTCCCTAAAAACAACAATAAATGCTTGCATTGATGTCAATAGCAACTTGGTTGTTTGTTACATGTAATCATTGTTTTTTTGTTCTTTTTTATTAAAATCAATGTTACATATTTACAGGTTGTAGTGGCTATGACCCCAAAGAGGGAGTTATTAATAGTGCACTACAGGTAACATTACAGGTAACTGTAAAAAGAAATTAAAGAAACTGAACTTACTAATAATGGTAGTATAGTTGCCCTATTTTGGATGCAATTTCTCCAATCTGCCATCGTTTCAGTCCATATTTGGTATCTAAGATTTGCCTGGAATGTAATAAAATAAAACCAAATGAAATATTTAATCAATTCAACTTTTCAATATTATATTTTTCTTGCACTCTCTAACAACAAAATTTCATGATTAGGATGGCCTCCTGAAGTTATCGTTTTTTGAATAGAACCTGTACATCATAAAGACAATACACTAGAAAAACAGCTACTCCACTGAGTAGCAAATCCCACCAAACAAAACATGTTTTGATACATAGCGGCCATATAAAATTTGAGCCAAATCCATCCTCTGGTATTTGTGTTACAACAGATGTTTTATTAAACATGGTGGCCATTTTGAAATTCAACTGCCATCTTTTAAATTTCTTCTTCAGCAGAGCTCCTATGTCTGTAGGCATCAGCATATAAAAAGCAATCCAAATCTGTCAGACAGATGAACAGACAGACAACTTTCCTATATCCCCCTATTCGTTCGGTGGGATAAATATATATCTCATATACATGCCGTAAAATGTAACCATACTTTGAAGATATCTCTAAGTAATAGCAGATTTTTGCTCGGCAGCCATTTTGAATTTTCTGAAGCAAGAATCAGAAAAACAACACCATAATTGTGATCTATTCTAAAATTCCTTGAATTTGAGTATAATATAGTCATAATTTGAAGAGATCAGGTAATTATTACGAAATCCCACATTAAGTGGCCATTTTGAATTTGAAAAGGCCTGAATAAGAAAAATGATACAATATTTGCAATCTACTCTAAATTCCCTTTCATTTGAATCTTTAACCTCTTGAATCCCAGGCTCTAAAATTGGCATGAAACCAGAGAATTTTTCATTTTTTGCCACCTTTTGACATTTTATTACATACCTATACAACTTTAGATGCTCAGCTTAGTAAAATTGGACGGCAGAGATCATTTCTACACGTTTTAAAACAATTTTTGTGTAAATTGGATGAAAATTGTTCAAATGAGAGCAATTTTTGTGAAAAATTTTGTGACGGATTTTCTCGTCCCTCTGGGCACCAGTCTTATTTCATTTGTGACGGATATATCCGTCACTCTGGGTATTCAAGAGGTTAATAAAGGTATACTTCAGAATCTCAAAATTAACAAAAACTCCTATTTTTCCAACCCCCATACACAGCCCCCGGAGGTCAGGCTGAAAAACTTGGAATATATGTGACATAGATAGATGTTGTGAATATACTACCAAAACTTCAAACAATAATATTCATTTCATTTGTTTAAAATGAAAAACTTAAGATTTTCGACAAATATTCCCGCAATTTCTAAAGTGGTGGCCATCTTGAAAAAAACTATTCGGGTAAAACTAATCACCAATATACATCTTTCCACCAATTTTGAAGCAAATCCGTCCACTAGTATTCAAGTTATCTTCCGGATGGTCAGATGAACTGATAGACGGACAGACTGACAGATGGAGGGCTTCATTCGTTTATTGGGATATATAGGCTATTGCACCCAACTGAGATTTCATTTGCACCCACTTGAAAATGAGAAAAAACATGTAAAATGAGCATATTTTGACCAATTTTGGACTGAATAGTGAAAATGAGAATTTAATGCAGCCATTTGGGAAAAAATCATGCGGAAATTACTGAATCATTTAGCTATCTAAAGGAAAATATTCCAATCAAAGTAAACACCTCTCTTAGATGAACACATTTTAAGATGAACACCTTTCTAAACTGAAAACCTCTATAAGGTGCACAGATTTCTGTAATCACCCTTGGTATACGCAGCTAACGAAAATTGACCGGTACGGGTCAAAAGCTGGACCGGTACGGGTTAACGGTTTTATTTGAATTTAAAATAGCCATAACTTGCTCAATATTGACTTCCTCGTGTCTAATTTGAAATATATGATGCGTCCCGATGCTTTTAAGTACCCCAATTTTTTACAGATTTTTAAACGGACCAAAACTCTCTAAATGCGCATTTATGCTCTTTTCTCTCGAGAACGACTGTCTCATTTTCACGATAACTTTTATTTAGTACTTCTAACATATAAGATCTATTTTTCCCCATCAAGGTATGATGTAAATGACATGCTATTTACATCTTGTGAGTTTCAATGACGCGCGTTTGATTTTATAAAAAATGCCAAACTTTGTGACAAAGAATTTCATCAGCTATTGCCCCGAACCGGTCCGTCTTCTCGCTACAAGCAGATTGCCCCGAACCGGTCCGTCTTCTCGCTGCAAGCAGGATGAAATTCTTTGTCACAAAGTTTGGCATTTTTTATAAAATCAAACGCGCGTCATTCAAACTCACAAGATGTAAATAGCATGTCATTTACATCATACCTTGATGGGGAAAAATAGATCTTATATGTTAGAAGTACTAAATAAAAGTTATCCTGAAAATGAGACAGTCGTTCTCGAGAGAAAAGAGCATAAATGCGCATTTAGAGAGTTTTGGTCTGTTTAAAAATCTGTAAAAAATTGGGGTACTTAAAAGTATCGGGAGGCATCATATATTTCAAATTAGACACGAGGAAGTCAATATTGAGCAAGTTATGGCTGTTTTAAATTCAAATAAAACCGTTAACCCGTACCGGTCCAGCTTTTGACCCGTACCGGTCAATTTTCGTTAGCTGCGTATACCAAGGGTGGTAATGAGAACTTTAAACTAGATTGAACACAGCCCCTAAATGAACGGTGATGAACCTCTCCATATCAAACTATGTGAAATAAAAACCTCTCTCACATATTCAACTCCAGATTTTCAATTGTAATAATAATTCTAATAATTTTTATCATTTGAAATTATTAGAATAAATTGAATTGAAAAGATGCATCTATATGTAAACCAACCTATAATGCTTAGAAACTGTAACAATTGTATTGTTACTTATAATATGAACACATTGAAATAAAGAAAATAAATCTTGAGGTGTTCACATTTGAGAGTGTTTTCCATATTATACAAAAGCAGAAAAGTGTACTTAGATGCCAGTTTGTTTATTTAATTGTTTGTTTGTTTGTTTGTTTGTTTGTTTGTTTGATTGTATGGTGGGAGCATAAGATATCAAAAAGAAACACCCCGCAAATATTTATTTTTTACTTGATGTTATCTTATATATGACAGGGTCAAATAGAAGAACAAATATCTCATTATTCAATTGAGTTCCCAAGATTGAGAGCCAATAATTTCAGAATATGTGCAATGCGATTACTGGATTACCAGATAATACACCATACTCTATTGATCTGAAATACATTCTGACAAAAACTATTCCATCTTCTGATATACCTGTTTCCAACAATTTCTCTATGAATTGAATGTTATGAACAGTTAGGAATTTGTATATGATAAGTGTGTTACTTAATATTAGGTTTTTGTAACAATCCTTGATATTTTTTGGATTTTGAGTAGAGTTACACAGAAAAGTTAGATTCTGATTATGGAATATTTTTGTAGAGCAATCATACTTGGAATATGCACGAGGGTTTCAGGTGATCAAAACACAATATGAGCATAATTTCTGAACCCCTGTTAGTGTGAGGATGGTATCATTGCAGGGAGAATAAGGGAAAATTCGGAGCGAATGTGTGACATGTATACAATTCGCTTAAAATTCCGAATGAACTGCATTCGTTTTTTTCGGCGTTTGTTTTAGGCATTTGTTTTTTTTGATTCTGTAATGGCCTGCGATTGATGCCACACAATGTTTTTAAGAAAATTATGTTGAAAAGTATTGTTTCAATAATTTTGTAACTGGACTGCACCAAGCCCTAAATGTAAGATCAGATACCTGGAATTCCTTTTCTCTCAATGTACTGTACACAGGCCTCCATTTAAAAAAATGGACAAAATGTGGGGGGGTTTAAGGAGCTTTTAGCAACCCCTGACCCCCCCCCCTTGCCGAAGATTCTTCCAAAATAATGCAGTTTTGAGCCCAGCTCCCAAGAATTTTTTGAAACTTAACCCCCTTAGCAAGATTACCCTGCGTGCAGAGTCTAGTTAAACTACTGAAGACGAAGCTCTCTTTTAAGAAGTGAAGTCAAACGAATGCAAAGGGTATAGCAAGATTAGATACCATTAGAGATTTTCAAAGTATGATTAAGTCTGGTCAATTCTGGTAATAATACTCCATTGTTTCATGTAATTGGCTTTCACACCATCGTGACTTTTGTTACTGATATAATTATAGCTGTAAAAAGAGACAGGAATGATGACTAATTTGGAAATGGCACAATCTTTTATGACAGAGTAGCATTTCTTATCTAATTTAAAAGGTTAATGCCAATTCATTGTGGACAATGATAGCACACGATTTATCAGGACGCCCACCCACCAACCGCCCCACCTGCCCGGGAAACTGATCACAATATAGCACCCCAGGATGTGATAATTACAGAATTCTAACAAACACACCTGTAATGTCCCGAAGTAAAGAATAGATTACAAGGAAAAGGAATTTGCGAGAATATGACTCAATAGATATGTAATTTGTTGAGAAACATAAGAAATTTGATATATTTATTCGAACCGGAGGAGTAAAAACCTTTAAATATGAGTGCGACCAGAAAGTCATTTTAAACATAGGGGAATGTAATCTGCTATGTTATGAGCACAAGAACATTACATGAAAAAACATTTCAGATCAACCATGCTCAATTTGATCTGCGCTCTTGAATGAATATCTAAAAGTTCTCAAGTTTTATACAATTTAGAGCACGACTCTAATGACTTTATTCAGCTTTGTTTCATTCCTTTTTAGTTCCTCTCTGCTGCTTTTAAATAGAGGAAAAAAGAAAAATAATTGAAATTTTTAGCGCAGGATTGTCAGGATATTGATTCCATTGAGTGTAAATCACTCTTTCTATAATAAACTTTGAAGGGCAAAACATAAGAAATTATATTTAATTTGTTGAATATCACCATTACATTATAAATTTTTAAAACTTTTTTTCAACATATTGTCATGTGTATAAATTGTCATTCTATTTTTTCATTATAAGTCTCTTTGATGGGTATATCATAAACTGGTACTTTTTGTAAGGGTGATTGTCTATATTCTCTCAGAACATCAACTGAGGACCCTTGCAAATAATTTCAGTTTGCCATTTCATTGTGGTTCTCCACTCAATAATATTTTGAACATAAGAAGAATTGAAGAAAATATCAACCATTTTTGTAAAATAACACACATTTCTTCTTCTTGGCTTTAAATGATGAACGGCAACAATAATTCTTATTTAAGAAAAAACTATCTTGTTTTACTTTAATGGAATCACACATAAAGCCACAAAGCATGATCACAGTACAGTGAAACCTATATATACGAACACCTTTCTAATCCAAATACTCCTTAATATGAACACTTTTTCTCAGTCACAAATACTATCTCCCACTGACCCAGATATTTCAGAAACCTTGAAATGTGAACACCTACTAATCTGAACACTTTTGGAATATTCCAGTGGTGTTCGGATAAGACAAGTTTTACTGTTAGTTCATTTTCTGCAATTAGTCTATTTTAAGTGTACCAAAGAGCAGAAAACCATTTACATGAGAATATTTTTCATCGATATTGTATTACGCAAAATGTATCGCACAACATTTTCCTTCAATATTGTATGACGCAAAATGTACTACACAATATTTGCCTTCAATATTATAATGACGCAAAATGTATCGCACATTCATTAATTAGATAGATGTAACTGGACACTTTGTTTTAATTCTAGTGCAATCTGAGTGAAATATAAGCTCATTACTTAATTGATGCCTTTTAAAGATGCAAAACACTTCTTAATTCTTTAGAATCATTTTAGGTGATCAGATCAGAAAAACACACTTCTTAAATAAACTTCAAGATTGAGAAATACTTCATTTAACTATATGCAAAATGTCCATCTTTTTACATTTTCACTAAGTTAACATCATAGGAATAAAATGAATACAAGAGACTTGGAAGATCTTTTATTAAGAGAGAATCAGATTTCATACTGTTAAACCAGTATATTCCTTCAGTCATATGAAATACCTTGGATCAAGATGATCAGATTTAGCGAGCAAGTTAAATATAAAATTGCCTCAACAAATATTTTTGGCTCTAATCATTCCTTTTCTAGGTATATTTTTTAAAATCCCTAAAGAATATACTTTATTCAAAGAGAACTAAAGATTTTTTACAATTATGTATTTTTTCTATTTTTATTGTTACCATTTTTATTATTTGGGAGAATTTAAACATTTTCCCCCATTTTTGCACATTGAATCTAAAATAACTAAACCAGTTTGTAACATATCGTGGTTCTTTTGGGAGATATTATATTTAAAAACACAAAGAATAGATTGGAAGGCCAATTGTACGTTGTTTGCAACTTTGTTAGCCCCTATAGCTCTGATTCTGCCTTAAAGAAACATATTTCTACTGACCTATGTTGTTGCTGGAATTTCCATAGTTTTGTATAAACATCAAATGTTCGTCCAAAATATGCCTGCCATTGTTTATGACCATACTGTGGTAAATCTCTGAAAAAAATATGACTTGAATAAATGACTATTAGCTGAAAAACATAATACATGTAAGTATCAAATGTAAGATTTTGAACGCAGAAAATTAGCAATCTATAAAATCCAATTGATACTTTGGATACAAACAGCTTTTATGCATTTGAAAAAATATACATATGCTAAAACAGTGCTCTCCCCAGGATGTTTTTGTGTGGAAGATTTTGTTATTTTTTTAGTAAAACATTTTAGCATTCGTAATTTTTTGTGTAGCATTTTAGAATTTCTTTATTTTTATTGTAACATTTAGGATGTGCATCTAAGAGAATAGATCATGATGCGAGTATAAATAATCTTGATTTATGGCATTAAATTCAGTCAAAGTGATGTCACATTTAAAATTTATATGTAAAAGTTCAGCTAGAGAGTGGTTTTAAAATTTGTTTATTAACTTTGAATATTTAATTTTTTTGGAAAATGTGACTTCTTGTTCAGGGAGATTCCCCATAGACCCCATGTTATAAAGTCACAAAAAGTGAAATATCTTGTATTGGACAGATAATATTATCTTTTACTGGATATATTTCAATTTGTATAACTATTAGATAGATAAGGGTGATATGAAAATTGATCCACTGAAACTGATGAGTATTCAAGATAAAGGGAACTTTCTACTATACCTACCAATGCTATTTGACCCGAATGAGCCACCTGATGATGAAACTGAATTATGAAAATGAGAATTTTGCACCCACTTGAGAAAAGATCTTGGGGAGATCACTGTGTACAGTGAAAACATGGGCCTCATCACATTAATACAGATGTCATGAATATTGCAATTTTTTGTTGACAATAATTGGTTTCGTGTACATGCAGGTACACTAAATGTCATATATATGTGCAGTGATCGCCTTTGTATTAGAGTAACTTAAGGTCCTAGGCCTGTTGAAAATATTTGCCACTCTGTTAAAAATCTGTTTGCCTGTCAAAATTATGAAACATATGTATTGAGAATCGTGATTCAGCACTGGTACAGATTCCTATGTCATTGAAGGTACTCAATGGATATGGAATTAAGGCTACAGTATCAAAACTAAAGTGCCGTCAGAGGTAAAATAATTGTGGAGTCATGTATTTGGAATATCTTCTTTAATCTTAAAACAGCTGTAAATTAAGACCTGTAAATCAAATTTTCCAAAATGAATGTATACAAGGCTCCAAACCAACACCTAGATGATGCATTTCTAACGAGTTTGAGCTCAAATTTCAATAAAATGAAGTAGGGGCAATTTCCGCCAGGTTTGTTTATTGTGGTTTAATTCTTATGGTGAGTGCTCGGAAGTAAATAATTCACACGCACGAAAAATCAAATAATTTGGTTTAAGATTACTGTCAAAAATGTTTCAAAGGAACGAAAATGGTACCAATAAAATGTTGGACCAAATGCAGAACTGGTGAAATCACATCGAGAACTGTATGCTATATAAGATAAGAGGCTTAGGTGTCTAGGGAAACCCATTTTGTAAGGAACACTCTATTTAGTTTGAAAAACTTCAGATTTTTTATTATGAATACACTGTAATGAGACTCATTATTTCTTGGTAAAAAAAAACTTTGGATTTTGGATCAAATGCAATGGATTGGTGGTGCTTTACTCACTTCGAAAGCCATGTTAGATTTTGAAACTTATGGCTCTCAAATGGGGAAATGGACAGTTGAGAAATAGTGACCTGTGAAACACGAATTAAGTCGATCAGCGTCTTACTTTTGTTCTCTAACTATGCCATACATCATTATCATCCTTCCATGCAAGTATTGGAGTGCTGAAGTACTTCCTTTTCGATCAAGACTTGTAATTGTTAGTCGAGTGAATGTTTTTACTGCCAAATTCCAATATGGCGTTTTCTGCTTGGACTTCGTAAATCTCTAACCTAACTCATTCTCAAAATTCATTCCGTTAGTTGCGTATCTCACTCCTAGCAAACCGACATATTGGAAATAGGTCAAAAAACATTCACTCGATGAACAATTTACAAGTCTTGATCGAAAAAGAAGTATTTCAGCACTCTAATACTTACACGGATTGATGATACTGATGTAAGACAGAGTTAGAGACCAAAAGTAAGCCGCTGAAATCTTCATTCACGTTTTAAAGGTCACTATTATTCAGCTGTCCAAATGCGCTGTGGGAAAGCTATTATATCAAAATAGCTTTCGCAGAAAGTAAGTGGTGCTGTCACGATTTAGCACCCTAGCTGTTAACAAAAGTCTTGGGAGATCAGTAATGTGTGAAAGCTGCTCTGGAAAAACTGGAGGAGAGAAAAGTGGAGAGAAGTTGCACTGCACTCAATGGAAGAGGTCGGGAACCCAGGGTCGTGAATGAGGTACAATGTAGGCCTACTGTACTATAGATATACAATTGCGAAGCATTTACACATACCTTAGTCCATTGAACAATTGTTTAGATTTCTCAAGCAAATGACAAAATTCATTTATAATTTTCTTATCTTCATGGTCCTGTGGCTGATTTTGTGCAGCAGTTGGATTCGGATTTGCAACTTCCGTCGCCATGATTTTCTGTCAAATTTCAATCCTCAATGTTCCAAAGTTTCTACATATTTCCTTTCGTATTGCTTTACTCCAAGTCTGCTTTATATACTAATTAGAAGGTTCCACATCGTTTGTAATGTTTACCCATGCATAATTGGCATAAACTAAGGTAAAATGCACTGTAATTTTTCTTAATTTATGTTTGGGTTACTGTAGCGTAATCTGGTAGAGTATTTTGAAAGCGGATCCGGAAGTTTCACATGAGTTTGAAATTTCTAAAATATTTCACATTTTCACAAATATCTACCTCAGATGGGCTGAGAGGACAACAAGATATACTTTATTAGGTAGACTGGTGGTAGGACTTCATAAAGATATAAACTGAGGTAATGTATTATTCATAATATCCATCTGATTTGGACTTGTTTTCTCGTTTTGTGTGTCAAACTTTGATCACAGGAATATGGAGTGGTTCGGAGTGCCATCTGTACATGTATACTAATCTGGGTAGAATAGAGAACTCAAGACAAGAGAAGATAAACAAAGCCTATCCATTGAAAAGAAGATCAAAAGTGTCAGTGGTCAGAAATTGCTCATTAGGGGTGTCATCTTGGAGATGAATATCTCATTACATGCATGTCCTAACATTACACTCCTTAATCACATTGCTGTGGTTGGGTTTAACTTCCGTGCTATGCTTTCATTGGTTGCAAATTCTCACTATCAGTTATTATAAAATGCGCATAGAATTCTATGCGCTGCCATAGGCCATCATTAAAAAATTTTGCATCAAGGGCCGAATAGGCACGGATGTTAAGGTCTCATGGAAGTTAACAGGAAATGACAAAACAAAAAATGACAAAGCCATGCTGGATTTTGAAAATTTTTTGAACCAAGATAACAGAGTTCTGTTTGGACCTCCAGTCAGTTTAACTAGTTCCAAATATCATTTACATGACCAGGAACACAATTGAAATGGTCAGAATGACCATAAACATGATAAAATAACTTTTTTAGCCCTCTGAAAATGTGACTGAAAAATAGCTAAAAGTAGGTGCTCAGGAAAGGTCAATGAACAGAATCTTTTGATTTTTTCAGAAAATGTGTCCAATATATTGCTCTAAATGACACAATCTTTGAAATTTTAAAAAATCGTCTGAAACAATAATGGCTGTAGTAAAAAGGAAAATAGATCGATTTTCAATTCAGTTTTTTTCAATCTTTTCTTTTTCTAAGAATGATATCAAATTTTTTTGAATTGTATCATTTAGAGCAATATATTGGGCACATTTTCTGAAAAAGTCAAAATATTCTGTTCAGTGACCTTTCCTGAGCACCTACTCTTAGCTATTTTTTAGTCACATTTTCAGAGGGCTGAAAAGGTTATTCTATCATGTTTATGGTCATTCTGACCATTTCAACTGTGTTCCCGGTCATGTAAATGATATGTGGAACTAGTTAAACTGACTGGAGGTCCAAACAGAACTATGTTATCTTGGTTCAAAAAGTTTTCAAAATCCAGCATGGCATTGTCATTTTTTGTTTTGTCATTTCCTGTTAACTTCCATGAGACCTTAAACCTAGGGCGGGCCACAAGAAATGTCAGATAAGAAATAAGGCCCAGACTAGGTTTAACTTGTTGAATTAAAATCACATGTGATTCTTGTTGACAAATGTCAAAATCTCAGACTGACCTGTAGATTTCTCACTCAATCTCTTCCTCAGTCATCTCGTTCGCCAACGCCACAAATTAACTACTCAAGATTTGATAAAAGACAACTCTGATATTGTCAACAAGTGTGTTTAAGTATGGAGAATATTGCTATTTTCCTACTGACATTTTTTAAAATGGTGACTTGGAAGTAGCGAAACACCTTTTAAACAGTTAAAGAATGATAATGTGATAAATTGGTTGAAGGTTATTTTGTGTGTTACCTACGTAGGTTCATTAGCAGGAGTAATCCAAACACCTACCTGTCCGAATTATTTTTTCTGGTCCTAATTTTTCCTTTTTTGAAATCTGAACACCTCCTAATTTGAAGAGTGAACAAGTTCTAATCTGAACAATCTTCACAAAATTGCTCAAATATTTCCACTTATACACTGCTTTTTTATGATATCAAAACTTTTGAAAAAATTCAATGGTCTTTCTAGCATGACTAAAATCATTTAAAACAGATTTTTGAATGCCTTAAAGCTATGTGGTCAATATAGTGAATATTAATATTCATTGAGAATGCATTTATATTTCTTCAAAATCCAGAATCTTGGAAATGCAAATACCTCGAAATCTGAACACCTCTTAATTCGAACACTTTAAGCTGGTCCCAATGGCGTTCGGATTAGACAGGTTTTACTGTATACATAATACAAACAATCTCTCCATTTTGCTGTATTTTTAGTCATATTAGAACTGTTATCCCTTGTCTTACCATTTTGCTGTATTTCTAGCTATATAACAACTGTTATCCCTTGTCTAACCATGGCAGAGGTACCAACGATTGCACAAGATGCCGTCATGGTCTCTACAACTGGAAAGCTTCCTGTAGACCCAGTAGAAGTGAAAGGTTATGACTTCAGTGATCCAGAGGGAGTGGACTACCACAAACTGCTCAATATGTACAAAACCTCTGGATTTCAAGCCACAAACTTTGGAAATGCCGTCGAAGAAATAAATAAAATGGTAAGCTAGTAGGATAAGGATATTTACCCTAATTCTTTGCTGTTTTGAAATGTTGTTTGTTTGGAGGATGTGCTATGATATCTGAGTATGATTTACATCCACAAAGAAACTTGGCTGAATCCTGCCATTTTAAGGATTTGAGCCCTGGACTCAGCTCAATGTGAACTGAATATCATTTCACTGAGGTGTTGTTTCAAACTTTGCACGAATATGTAGCATGAGTGCTAAGTTTAGGAAATTGATGTAATCTAAAAATGACCTTAGGTGCATTAGACAAGTATAATGCAATGCAATAATATGAAATACAGTACATTCTTCCAATTGGCTGAAATTAGACACACCTTGTATAGCTCTGTGTGAACTGTGAATTAACGATCATATCTCATCGCTAATTGCATTTTTAGATTGAAAAGAAGTTAGAGCCTTTACCACCGAAGGAGGAAGTCAATGAGGAAAGCATAAATCTCAATCCAGTTGGACGGGAAAAATCAAACTGTACGATATTCCTTGGTTTCACATCAAATCTTATTTCTTCTGGCACACGAGAAACAATAAAATATTTAGTCAAAAATAATATGGTAAGTATTTGATTGTATGTGACTTCATATGGCAACAATTTTATATCTGCAAAATAAGCTAAATTTAAATCATCTAGATGCGAGTAGGTAGTTACCAGTTTCACCACCAGGTGGCTTATTCGGGATAGATGACATGGCATGGTATTAGAAAGTTCCCTTAAACTTGAATATTCATCAGTTTTAGTGGGAGAATTTTCATATTACCCTTTTGTATCTGATAGTGATACATAAACAAATATGTCTAGTAAAAGAAAATATTATCAGCCAAATATAAGAAAAGATATTTCACTTTTTGTGATATTATAACATGGGGTCTATGGTGAATCTCCCTGACCTAGAAGTCACATAATCATTTCAAAGAAAATTAAATTTTCAAAGTTGATAAGCACACAACACATTTCTAGAAGTAATCATACATGTAGATTTCAAATATGATATCACTTTGATAATTCTTAATGATGAAAATCAAGATTATTTCTACTCGCATCTAGTCTATTTGTTCAAAACAATGCCAGGAAAAGTAAAATGATATCACTTGTATCACCAGATCAGAAGTGACTGTTTTCATACAACAGTAAAACTTGTTTATTCAAGCACGCTTCTAATCTAAACACCTCTCAATGTGAACACTTTTTCTGTCTCATTTTTAAAGTGCTATATTCTTCCATGTTGAAAAACCTGGAAATGTGAACACCTGCCAATGGAAACACTTTTTTTATTTACTTTTTTCTGGATTCTGTTCTTTTGGTGCTTGGTGTTTAGATTACAGTGATTTTTCTGTGATTTCACTTGGTATAGAAATATTGATTTATGCTTCAGGTGGATTGCATAGTGACAACAGCAGGGGGAGTCGAGGAAGACTTCATCAAATGTCTCGCACCAACTTTTTTAGGAGATTTTGCGTTGCCAGGGAAACAGCTGAGAATGAGTGGAATCAACAGAATTGGAAATCTCTTAGTCCCAAATGATAATTATTGTAAATTTGAGGACTGGATTATGCCCATATTAGATAAGATGTTAGAGGAACAAAAACAACAGGTGAGATCATTAAAAGTTAAGAAAAAAGAAAAAAAAGAAAGGAACACTTTCTGATGGAACACTTATCCCTAGAGAGGTCTGTAGTTTTACCTTCAAGAGTAAAATGAAGTTTCCGATTTAATTTCCCACATATAAATTAATGCAGTTTAATTTTCTTTCAATTTGACACTCTTTCAATAATTATGTTCAGTTTTTATGTCACCACCACAATTAGTGACATATTGTTATAGTCTCCAACTTTTTGTGGACAATGTTCAGCGTCGCATCTGTAACAAATGGCAGGTGATGACATTTTGCATGTTAAAGCCATCTATTCTATTTTTCTTTTCATGTCAAGGATATTCATTCATTGATGTTCCATTTTATGCCACCTATTTGAGTTTGAGACTGTTATGAGTATGAGGCTACATGAAAATCTTAAGTGAAAAGAAGTAAATGGTGATGCAAAAAAGCAACCCTTTAATTATATGCATAATTTTGTTGGAATTGTCTTGACATTTCTTGTGCTATGAAACAGTGGTTGAATTCAAGTTTATTGTTGCTTGCAGTCAATCAAGACTGATAAAAAATTGAATATTGTAGAGAAAATGCATTTTTTATTTTCTCAAATACTGTAGATCTATAGATGTCTCTTGCCTATGCAAATGTTTTAATATATTGTAGGGTACAATATGGACTCCTTCAAGCATGATAGCCAGGCTTGGTAAAGAAATTGATAATCCAGATTCTGTTTATTACTGGGCATATAAGGTAAAAAACTTTTCAATTTGAACAATTCTAGATATGTACAGTATGAGCCTTTCATTTTTAACTAGCCATTTAGTGCACCATTTTTGTTATCTAGAATAAAATAAATCTTTCAAAATTCAGGAAAAGTTGAATTTTTACTTAAGTGTTCTGTATGCCAGTATACTTAAATATATTATATCTATCGTGTAAAAAGTCTTTTTCGCAACAACTTATCATAATGTGTATTGCTAACAATATTTTTTAATGATTTTTTCCAGAACAACATTCCAGTGTTCAGTCCAGCTCTAACAGATGGATCTATTGGAGATATGATCTATTTCCATTCGTATAAGAATCCAGGTCTCATACTTGACATTGTAGAAGGTATTTACATACAAAATTTAAAAGTTTATTTTATTTTGATAATTCTAGATATAAAGTATAAATTCTTTGTTATATAATACACTCCCCTCCATAAGTTTGGCAACCTTTTTCCCCCATTGAACTACGTGTTAAAGCCTCTTTACCTTTGAATTTTTATTTACTTAACCTGCGATGAAAATACTAGGGGTCCCACGATACAGTATCTTCAATTTCGATACGAGCAACGATATTTACCTCACGATACGATACGAGCAATGTAAGTGCGTAACAAATAAATTTATTTAATAAAAACAAATACGTTAACAAGACAAATGTCAACCGCTGAACTTTGAACGTGAAACGTGAAACCTATTATTAGTCCTAAACCGGAAATACATTCTACGCCGGATTACGCTAGGCGGATAACAAAATGGAAACGGGACAATGGGTAGATACAATCCCATGTTAACCAATGGGAAATGGTAGGTTTGCCGCAAGTCATATGACAGAATATCCATCCATCCGAGTCCTTGCAAAAAATACGAGTTAGGCAGGTAATTGAATTTGAGAACTTTATTTAACAAAAAATTGATATGTTTCTTCAGGTTCAACAAAGTTATAGGGCTTTAAAGTCCAAATTGTTTTTCAAAAAACCTCTCCCATTGAAATAACACAGGAGGCGAAAAATAATTTTCAAAAATGACTTTGAAGCGCTGTAACTTTAATATTCATCAAATAAACTAAACACTTAGTGTTCAAAAAAGTTAGACAATTCAATTTTCTATATGAAAATATTTTTTGCTGAATCTTTTACTGTAAAGATATCCTGATTTCTGATTTGCCCAGAACCCTCCATTTCCCATTGGATTACATGAGAATGACGATTTTCAAAAATTTATCATCAATTTTCGACCTATTGTAATTTAGGAAAAAAATTGAGAAAATTTGGAGGTATTGGAAATAAAGTCAAGTTAGGTTTCCATCAATATCATAAGTTATTTCATCGCCGGTTAAGTAAATAAAAATTCAAACGTAAAGAGGCTTTAACACGTAGTTCAAAGGAGAAAAAAGGTTGCCAAACTTATGGAGGGGAGTGTAAATGTGTTACTTATGTTGTCCAAATGTGTTACAGATGTTGTCACAAATGTCTCAGATGTTTTTGTTCAAATAAATGTTACATTGTGGAATTTCTCTGAAAACCCCATGGTCACGGATATTATTCAACTTCATTACAGACATCATCAGAAAATGTTACAGATATTGTTTATGTTTCACACATTTTGTACATTTTTTGTGTCACACATATTGTCAGTTTGTTATACAGTTATTACTCAGGTGTATAGCAGTTATTAGTCATGTGTGTTACAGATATAGTAACCTTTTATGGAAATTGTCCATAACATATATTGTCCATGTGTGTTACAGATATTGTTACAGATATTGTCCATGTGTGTTATAGATTTTGTTACAGTGTGTTACAGATATTGTTTATGTGTGTTACAGTTGTAACCTATTACGAATATTGTCCATAACATATATTGTCCATGTGTGTTGCAGATATTGTTACAGATATTTTACATGTGTGTTACAGATATTGTTACAGATATTGTCCATGTGTGTTATAGATTTTGTTACAGTGTGTTACAGATATTGTTTATGTGTGTTACAGTTGTACCCTATTACGGATATTGTCCATAACATATATTGTCCATGTGTGTTGCAGATATTGTTACAGATATTTTACATGTGTGTTACAGATATTGTTTATGTTTTGTAGATATCCGCAGGATGAACAGTCAAGCCGTGTATGCTGAGAACACTGGTATGATAATCCTTGGAGGAGGAGTTGTTAAGCACCACATATGTAATGCTAATCTCATGGTAAGACTTCCCCTCTTTTCATATGTGGGGATATTAAGCACCACATATGTAATGCTAATCTCATGGTAAGACTTCCCCTCTTTTCATATGTGGGGATATTAAGCACCACATATGTAATGCTAATCTCATGGTAAGACTTCCCCTCTTTTCATATGTGGGGATATCAAGCACCACATATGTAATGCTAATCTCATGGTAAGACTTCCCCTCTTTTCATATGTGGGGATATCAAGCACCACATATGTAATGCTAATCTCATGGTAAGACTTCCCCTCTTTTCATATGTGGGGATATTAAGCACCACATATGTAATGCTAATCTCATGGTAAGACTTCCTCTCTTTTCATATGTGGGGATATTAAGCACCACATCTCTGAAATGCTAATCTCATGGTAAGACTTCTCTATAGTCAAATGTGGGAATATTAAGCACCACATCTGTGCTTATCTAGTGGTTAGACTTCCTCTTTTGCCATATGTTTGGATATCAAGCACCACATATGTAATGCTAATCTCATGGTAAGACTTCCCCTCTTTTCATATGTGGGGATATTAAGCACCACATGTGCAATGCTTTTCTCATGATAAGACTTCTCTATAGTCAAATGTGGGGATATTAAGCACCACATCTGTGCTTATCTAGTGGTTAGACTTCCTCTTTTGCCATATGTGGGGATATCAAGCACCACATGTGCAATGCTTTTCTCATGGTAAGACTTCCTCTTTTGCCATATGTGGGGATATTAAGCACCACATCTGTGCTAATCTGTGCTTCTGACTCTGTCTTTGAGTGTAAAATATGTAAAATACCAATGAGGTATTGTCCGACAAATAATAGTGGTAACCAAACTACAGTACAAACTGTGGAAAATGATTTTGTAGCATCTTTTTTAATGCTTATGAATAAACATCCTCCAATCACAGGGCTTCAAAATCCAAAATATATTCTTTCTTTTTACCCCCTGCGATAAGCAGTTAGCATTTCCCAGATGAAGAACTCGCAATCTGATTGGCTGTCGCAACACTGCGACAGAAATCATGTATAAGGCATTGCGCATAATTAGATCACATGATTCAGTTTAATCGGGCGCTTCCAAATTGGTTATAGCAGGGGGAAGAAGGAGGTACGGATTCTGAATACCTACTTAGCAGGATGATGAATAAATACCTCTTAAATTATCAGTAACTCTAAAGCCTACCTTAAACTTATTCATGTTGTTTTTAGAGAAATGGTGCAAACTATGCAGTATTTGTGAATGTTGCTAATGAGTTTGATGGCAGCGATTCGGGGGCTCGGCCTGATGAAGCCGTCTCTTGGGGAAAGATCAAGATGGATGCGAAGCCAGTGAAGGTACGATCACAATATCGTTGCTATTGCAATATTTTCAGTCGTCCAATCATAATATCTCTGTCCTGATTGGACGCTTCCTCGAGTTCTCCCAGTACTGCACTTTAGTTAAAACTGTTACACTAATTTCACTTCATTTTTATTGAGATTATGTGACCTGATTGAAAATTGATCGACAGGTAAGTTCATCAAGAAAAATTAGTTGAGGATTTATTGTTTGTTTAAGTAGCTAAGTTTAACCTTAAATACCTTGAAATTAAATAAACCACCAAAAGGCCTGCAATGTGGACTGTCAGTATACTTTCACACAAATGTTTTCTATGTTTATTAATAAGCAAAATCTGTATCAGTAATTAGAGTCCTTGTATTACAATACAAAGTAATCTTAATGACCTTTGGGACTGCCAATAGATGGCAGAATACTCATTGGTATTAATTAAATACATGCACTTTAAAATGTTGCTTCAAAAATCACCCGTGAAGATAAATTTGAATGAGAATATTCAAAACCATATAATATTGAAACTGAAACCATGCAAGTAAATAATTATGAAGAGAAAATGTGATTTTAATTTGATTTATGTCTTGTAGTTGATGTTTTTAACCAGCAATATTTACATAGAAAGCAATGGGAGAAGTGTGAAGAACAACTCACAAGAGAAATTAGTGAACTGCCATCTATACGAGTCCTGGCTCCCATTAAAGTCATTTATATTGAGAAAATCTCATGGTGTTATAGTCTATTAATGTAATGTATGTTTACGCTTTTACAGATATACGGCGAGGCATCAATGGTTTTCCCACTGCTGGTTGCAGAGACATTTGCTAGGACTTTTAAACAAGAGAAATAATGACTTACTTTAGGTTGAGGGTTTTATATAACAGATTCTACAATGTGTATTGTGTATAAGATACTCTACAATGTGTATTGTGTATAAGATACATGTATCGTACAGTGTACTGACGTGACGTGCACTGATGATGTATAACTTTATGAACTAAAACATTGATAAAACTTATACATACTGAACTATGTTAAAATTAGGTTAAAGGCATAGCACACATGTAGCTGCCTCATTAATATATTCAAATTATACAAGCTCTTGTGAATAACACGAAAACATGGTTAACCAATAACTACACTGGACCTCCTCAAACAGTCGTTCTCGTGTTTTGCTAAATACATGTACATGTACTGTATAAATATGACCTTTCACCGACATTCAAGTCATTCTAGATTCAAAGAACTAGGCATGTATTGATTTTTATAAATAATATAAAACTAAAACTAAAAACTAACTATTACAGATACAGCTGACCAGAGGTTAGTTGCTTATTATTTATGTTTATTTTGATAAAATTAAATGCAATCAGATATTTTGACAATTTAATGAAAGAAGGGTTTGATTGGTTGATGTAGTTATTAGGTAAACAGAAGGAGTGGAGTACCCTTTGCATTCGTTTGTCTTCACTTCTTAAAAGAGAGCTTCGTCTTTAGTTAAACTAGACTCTGCACGCATGGTAGGAGTGGAGCCCGGGGAGTGGAGGAAGTGTAACAAAGCAGTCAGATATCTGAAAGAAACACATAAGGGAAATTGGCAATAACATAGTATTATCACCACTTAGATCATAATTCAGCAGGCCACATAGTGAATCTCCCCCTCGGGCCCTGGGCCAAAGTTTCATGATGTTGCCCTTTGAAATGAGGTTAATATGTTGTTCATGATAAATTATGATAGTAGTTAGACTGTGTCAACATAGTGGTATAATCTGAGATTATCAGAGTCTGAGAAATAATGCTTATTTGGAGCTATCCTTAGATCGCTTAGATGCGTGGAATCGTGTTCATTGGCAGTCATGCAAATTTATGATGATATGAAGTTAGATGCTTAGATATGAATACGGTTCATGAATCTTATATGCTATTATCTTCTAGCGAACGAACGCTGATACATCGCCATGTGATAAACATATACTTACATGATAGGTCAACATTTTGAAAACTGAAAAGAAATTCAATTGTGTTAACATTGTTACTAACAAACAGTATTAAAACAAGGCATTAACATGCAAAATGTTCTGGTGGTGACATAACAAGTCTGCTAGTACCGCTCATAGTCGGACATTGTCCCCATAAGTTACGATTGAGAGCGGGCGAAGGAATTCGAGAGTACTAACCAACTTTAGATATCAATTTGATCTAAAGGTGTAAGTTGTTCTTTGATCTATGACTAGGTAACGTAAGGAATGTTTTATTGTTTTAGAATACTTATTTTAAATGAAACAATCTTTCATTTGTAATAAAAATATTGAGATACGTAAATACGTTGTCATTTTGTTCCAACGACGTTAAGATAGATGTTTCATTATATTCCACATATAGTTCCAAGAACAAAAGACAGTCTGATGTGTTTTGAATATAAAAAATATGTATATAATATATAAAAAAAGTAGAAAAAAAATTTCAAAATTAAATAGTTATCATTCAAATGATGACCATAATATTGACGATGTTTTCTGAATTTTTTGATTTAAGACAAAATAAGTTTAATAACTTCACCATTTCGCTACCAATTCTTTAAAGGCCCCATGTAAAGTTTAAACCACTTTGGCTTATATTGTAGTCTTACCCAATGTTATCAAAGTGTGATATGTGAAACTTTTTTTTAAAATTTCAAAATGTGGTTTTTGATAGACTTTTTGTTCCAAAATTTGTGAATTTATTTAAAACCAACTTTTAGAGGTCACTCATATCTTCTAATTAGCCACAATTCATACCAATGCATAGCATTCATCCTCCCATGTTTTTTGCCGTAAAAATTAAGAAAATCGGTTCATAAATAAACGAGAAATGAACTTATCAGTGCATGAAAATGGTTCTGAGAAAAATGCATTTCAAAATTTTAGTTCTCATAGAAACCAATGGTACAATGATATCTAAAACATAATTTATTCTTACTTTTAATCTGGTTAGACAATCAACATTGGTTTTTTATGAAAGTCTAACATATTTAGAAAAGATTGACATCGAAAAAAAAATTTCAATTTTTTTCAAAAAGTTTTTGGTACCTTAGTGACATCACTAATGTTTCAAAATATTTTTGATATGCTAAAACATTGAAGTGGCCCATTAAATATGGCATTTTATTATTGAAATAGTGTGTCCTTTGTTCAATCTTTGCATTGGTGTTAAAAAGATAATCTTTTTTGAAATGCATTAAGAAATATTTGATGATCAAGAAATTTCAACTTTTTTTGAAAAATGGCGGGAAATTTGAATATTTGAGAAACGAAATGCTCACAACTTTTTTATCAAAATTTTTTTTTGTTCAAAAATCTCTAAAATTACTTTTGAAGTCCTGACAAATAGTAAATGAATGATAAAAAAATATTTTCAAACTTTAGACGGGGACTTTAAACTTCCTTCTATGTTGGCATTTAATTCATACGTGACAGAAAACATTATAATCGAAACGGATTGTAAAAGGTCGTCTCCCAATCATAAGTAAAATTCTCTCGAATTCACATTGAAATAATACGATTTATTGAAATAATCAAAAGGAAATTATCTGCTCGATCTAGGAAAGCACGAATCAGTATTCATTGGCTTCCAAATATGATAGAGAAAATTGGTCAGATTGAGTGTCTTTGCCATCAAATAAAAGAACTGATGTTTCACGCCCGGTAATCGGAAGAAATGAACGGAGGAGTAGCTGATTTTTGCTAGAAAATTCCACAAATCTGGAAGATTTTTTTTCATGAGAAAGTTTACAATTGAATTGCTGAATGAATAGGTGCAGTACACGGGAAAATGTGTTTTTGAACTGATGGACTTCTAAGATAAAAGACATATTAAAAAAGGCGCAACGTCACCAACGTGGAAATGTCAATGTTTTTGCTTTAAATTAAGCAACAACTGTCGACACGACCTTTAATAAATATATATAAGCGACATTTTTATAACAAAATTAATGCCATTGCCAGTTTTTTTTAAAATAATTTTCCAAACGTTATATAAAAAATAACCGAGAATAATTAACACTGAAGGGGGGGTGAACGGAGAGGGGGAGTGATATGTCTTTAAGGTGGAAAAAATTTCCACGAATTCGTATACTTGAAAAATGAACTCAGTATTCACTTTTCAGAGTTGTAACATCAAGTTGTTACTCAGTAACAACTTGATGTTACAACTCTGAAAAGTGAAAAATATGGACATATGGTGTAATTGGAAATAAAGTCAAGTTACATATCTCCTCCGTTCAATTTTAATAATTTTCGATTATTTTTTATATAACGCATGATAACATAAATTACAAAACCAACGATGACAATAGTTTTGTGATAATAACTTCACCTACAAGTATTTATAAGAAGTCCATCAGTTCCAAAAAATCCGAGAAGACCTAACATATTTCCTCGTGCAATGCGCCTATTCATTTAGCCATTGTAAACTTTGTAAATATATCTCAAATATGTGTTGAATGTTCTACCGAAAATCAGCTACTCCCCCTCCCCTCCGTTCATTTTTTCCGATCACCGGCCGTGTATTTGGAGGTTTTTATTATAGTTTTGTTTATGTAACATTAATGTACGCTTTGGAGCTCCCATCTCCAAAGCGTACATAGAGCTTGAACCTTAACTCGGAAACGGCACACTTTTTTACGTTTTATGTATGAAAATAGTATGAGAGTTGCACAGGAAAATGAATCCAAGTTGTATATTATGTGGCATATTTTGATATTTTGTTACGGTCTCCGTTTTTTGTGACGGCGGTTGGCGATCGGCGGGTGGCGCGCGGTTGGCGTCTTTAACAAATTCTTAAAACTTCCAATAACTTAACAAATACTGTTTAGACTGACTTCAGTTTTTTTCAAAATCATCTACAAGTTTGCAGAAGTTCAAATCTGACTTTATATTTAAGATTTGACCTTCAGTGACCTTTTCAAGGTCTAAAAAGGTAAAAAGGTATTTTTAAATTGCTTCAAATTAAACAATTTTTTTCAAAATCATATACAGGGTGGTCCAAAAAAAGTGAACCCCTGCAACAGGCTATATTTTCCTTAATACATGCATGGATTTGCTCATATTATCACATCTTGTAGAGAAAGGTCTAAAATTTTTGTTGATACCATAATTTATTCTCAGTCTTGAATTTAGAAGAAATTACAAGACTTGAACAAACATGCCTCAAATTAGATTTTCTGCAAAATTTTACCGATGTGATTGACGGAAATTGTTGATACACATTAGATGATCTTAAAAAAGCTTTCGGTGAAAGATTATAAGTTTAAACCCTACCATATGACAAATGGGACACTATTTGAGCAGAAAACACATTTCACACTTTTATTGACCATTTTGAAGCTGTTTTAACCATTCAACAGTTTAGAGGCATGTTACCTACACAAACGGGTAGAGGGGGGGGCAAAGTTACCCCTTGTTACCCAAAATCTGAGAAGCCCTTTATATAAAATCTAACAAAAATCAAAAGGAAATCTAATATTCAGTGTTTTGAGCCATATTTCATTAAAATTGGTTCATGATTAATGAAATTATTGACATTTTAAGACCATATAGGGTTATGTTGCGATTTCACTTGAAGGTGTTCTCGTCTTTGGAAACATTGAACATTTCTTTTGATCACAATAACTTTGCAACTAACAGAGGTAGAATGCTAATTTTTACATCATATTGTGTGGGATTGAAAACCAAACAAAGTCAGAAAACATTCCAAACTCCGGCTTAAAAGATTTCCATGGGAACATTGTTGAAGGGTTGAAGAATCGCACATATTGAAGTTCACATTTTACCCATTTTCAGTGATGTATCGTTAGGGCTTATAATTTCTGCAAATTTCAATACTAAAAAAATGTATAGTACCAACAAAAATTTTAGACCTTCTTCCACAACATGTGAAACTATGACAGTATGAAAGGATTCCTGCAGGTAATAAGGGAAATATAGCCGGTTGCAAGGGTTCACTTTTTTGGACCACCCTGTACAAGTTATCAGAAGTTCAAATCTGACTTGAGATTTGACCTTGTTCTCAAGGTCAATAAAGGTCGAATTTTTTCAAATTGCTTCAAATTGACCAATTTTTTTCAAAGTCATCTACAAGGCCTCATGCTCAAGAATTCAAATCTGACATAAGATTGAACTAATAATATTGTGAGAAACTAAGTGTTGACATTTTGGTGGTGACATGTTAATGCCTTGTTGCTTTTGGCTTATGCAGGGTAGTTCAAAATGCACGAAGAAATATTTAGCCCATGAAAGAAATCCATGATTTAGGTATGCTTTTACATACCCATTAAAAGTAACCTTTGATCTCGAGTCAAAAGGGAACGATATGAATGTGGTCTGTTATTCAAAAAAATTCGTTCGAAAAAACTATAATTGATTTAAGTTGTGTTTTTAGTGCAACCTTACTTTAAAATTTCGCGAATGCAACTGCCTGTGGAAAAGTAATGGTAGTTCCTAGGAAGCACGGTCCGTACTAGATACTAGCTGCCATTTTATTACATCTTTAAGCCGTTTTATGAAGCCTGTGGTACTAACGTATTGAACACTAAACTATATATTAATAACATACGAAACCTGCAATTAGTAGACTACAGCTCTGATATTGATTACAAACCAGTGTTCCCACTTGGGAAAGATACACAGTGTGAAATGCAGCTCGAACGCGTGACACACATCCAAGTAGTCGACCAATAGCATCCCAACAAGCATAAGTAACTATCAATGATTGGTTGAAATGTAACACTGTGAGTTCTAAAAACACAGCAAAACACCTCATGTAGACAGATCGCCTAAAATAACATTCATATGATGCGAGACTCGACATTCACCAGGAAACTAGAAATATTTTGTCCCCCATGAAGCAAATAGATTTTTTACTGCTTTAATAAATGGTCAATGGTAGTCGCATTGAGTTTTATAAGTATAATAATAGCATATCGAATTTTTCAAAACAGAAATTCAAAAAACATGTATAAATAGTAAGGCATGCAGGTTCGATTCCCCCTGGTAGAATTAACTTGGCCTCATACATGTCATACAATTGATATTTGAAGCCCAACTATTATTCGAACTTATGATCGGACATAAGTATGACATAAGTATTCATTACCTTGAAGTACACATCATACTTATGTCCGATCATAATTTCGAATAATAGTAATAATAATTGTATGACTTACACGAGACCAGTGTTAATGCTACCAGGGGGGATTGGACCTACAGGCCTTACTATTTATACATGTTTTTCTGTTTTGGAAAATTCAATATTTGATGTATATTTCTTAGTTTTTCAAAGAAATCTACAAATATTTCGTTGCGGTTTCATCTTTACATCGTCATTTCAATCACCGCCATCATTTTTCAAACGAGTTACCTTGAAATATCAAGACGGAATGCTATTCTCATACTTATAAAACTTAATGTGACTGTCATTCATCATTTATTAAGCAGTATAAAATTAATTTGCATCATGGGTGATAAAAAGTTTTCCTGGTGAATGTCGAGTCTCGCATCATACCAATGTAATTTTAGGCGATCTGTCTGCATGGGGTGATAAAGCGAGAGTTCTATGATATCCGTCAGACGATATTGAGAGACACGACGAGTAGGTAGGTCTTTCATGCACGATTTCTGGGCAAGAAGGATTCCTGTTTGAGTTGAGGGCCCGCAGTCGGCCAAGTCTAGTACCATCTCGAGAGGAAAGGCCACGACCACTTCAGAGACCAATCCCACAGCCGATTCCCTAATGTCGCCTGGCATAGATTTTATCATATAGAGTCCATTTCACTGCTTCAGTTCGTCAGTAGAACGGCAAAAGTAAGAAATTGGGAGACCATTGTGCAATAATATATAGAAAATTATATTCATAATGTACATGAATGACATTTGTATATCTTGGATTGCTTCTAGTTTGGCTTATAAAGTGTGTGGCCTCTTATATTTGGATGTTTCTCTGCCATGTTATTTTCAATAAGATTAACATGGCTGAAATTCTTCAAATTACAAGACGGCACAGGCTTATTGCACAAAAAACTAAAAAATCTGAAATATACAAATGTCATTCATGTACATTATGAATATACTTTTCCATATATTATTGCACAATAGTCTCCCAATTTCTTATTTTTGCCGTTCTACTGATGAACTGAAGCAGTGAAATGGACTCTAAGGTACAGCTGGAAAATAACATTTTGGTAAAAAAAAATGCTACACCTGCACATGTTATTTTCTGGTACAAAATAAAGTATGAAGGCATGTGGCAATTTCGTTGCTTTTTTCAGGAAAGTATCATTACATTGAATTGTCTTCTTTTAAAATATCTGGTAGAAATTCTGATATTGTACACTTTCTTTTTTTCCAAATTTTCTTTCCAAGTTTCCCGACAACACAAGAAATACCATTGACCTGTTTCCAGGTTTACTAAAAGTAGACAATGTGATGATATTTTCCTGAAAAAAGCAAGGAAATACACACATGCCTTCATACTTAATTACCCCAACGAACGAAGTACTGTAGGGATATAGTGAAGCCCTCCGTCCGTCTGTTAACTCGAATACTAGTCGACAGATTTTTTTCAAGATGGCCGCCAGTTTACAAATGGCGCGAATTTTTCGCAAAAATCTTATGTTTTTCATTTTAAGGTGCTATGGAAGTTAACAGGAAATGACAAAACAGGAAGTGACAATTTTTTTGCATTTTTAGATATTTTTTGAATAAATATAACAGAGTTCTGGTTTGACCTCCAGTCAATTTAACTATTTCCACATATCATTTACATGACCAGGATCACAATGTGCATGGTCAGAATGACCCTAAACATGATGAAATAACCTTTTTAGCCCTTTGAAAGTGTGACTGAAAAAAAGCTAAAAGTAGGAGCGTAGGGATAGTCACTGAACAGAGTCTTTTGAATTTTTCAGAAAATGTGCCCAATATAATGCTCTAACTAGTACAATCTTTGAAATTTTAGAAAATTGTCTTAAACAAAAATGGCGGTCATAAAAAGGAAAATAGATCGCTTTTCAAATCAGTTTTATCATTTTTTTTCTTTTTCTATGAATGATATCAAGTTTTCAAAGATTGTATCATTAAGAGCAATATATTGGGCACATTTTCTGAAAAATTCAAAAGATTCTGTTCAGTGACCTTCCCTACGCTCCTACTTTTAGCCTTTTTTCAGTCACACTTTCAAAGGACTAAAAAGGTTATTTCATCATGTTAAGGGTCATTCTGACCATACACATTGTGATCCTGGTCATGTAAATGATATGTGGAAATAGTTAAATTGACTGGAGGTCAAACCAGAACTCTGTTATCTCTGTTATCTGTTATCTTATCACCTTAAACCAAAATAACATTTTGGCAGTAGATTAACAACATCTACCTGTTTCACATATATCCCGGGTTTTTCACCCTGACCCCCAGGGGCCGAAAATGCGGGGTTGGGAAAATAGGAATTTGCGTTAATTTTGAGAAGTTTTTGAAGTAAAGCTTTATTATACTCAAATGAAAGGCAATTTAGAGTAGATTGCAAATATTGTAGCATTTTTCTGATTCGGGCCTCAAAAATTTCAAAATGGCCGCCTAATGCGGGATTTCGCAATTATTTTATGATCTCTTAAAAGTATGGCTAAATTATACTCAAATTGAAGGAATTTTAGAGTAGATCACAATTATGGCATTGTTTTTCCGATTTGCGCCTCTAAAAATTCAAAATGGCTGACTAGAGCAGAAATTCGCCATTGCTTAGAGTTATCTTTAAAGTATGGTTACATGATACTACAATGATTTAAAATATTTATTGAAGGTACAGTGTAAGAGTAGATGGTAAATATTACATTGTGACTGTACAGATTGATGATTTATATAGTGTTCTTTGGGATTTGCTACTCCGTGGAGTTGCCATTTTCTAGTTTTGTACCAGAAAATAACATGTGCAGGTATAGTAATTTTTACCAAAATGTTACGTTCCTTCTTTACACCCCGCCCCCCCCCCATCCCCCAGATGACATGCCATTTATAGTTTCCCTGTATTTCCTGGGTCACATTTGCTCCAATTCACACCGGCGCCCGGCCGATTGAGTATTTTGTTCAAAACTGAATACAATTTTGAACAGAATACACAATCGGCCGGGCGCCTGTGCAAATGTGACCTACGTGTATGCATAAATTGAAGGACCATGCTTTAGTATGTCGATGGTTTGTTCTTTTATTGACAAGTTGTGCTTTAAGATGTTTACAACATTATATTTATTGCTATATTTCCAGTACTTGAAAAACGGTTAATCAATTATCTAACATGGAAGAAATACCGGCGATTACCCGTGAATCGGTGATGGTGTCCACAACTGGAAAGCTCCCAGTGGACCCAGTGGAAGTCCGAGGCTATGACTTTAATGACCCTGAAGGTGTGGACTACCATAAACTTCTCAAGATGTTCAAAACAACCGGATTTCAAGCCACAAACTTTGGAAATGCTGTTGATGAAATAAATAAAATGGTAGGCTTGAGTGATACATTTACATTTTGTTCCAAAGTTCACTCGAATCGCTAAACACTGTATGGTTTGAAATGTTCGTATTAATTTTTTGGAGGGGATATAAAGTTCTCTCACTCGAATGAAAAATTCCATAGTCGATACAGACACAATAATTGTTTTAAAACGTTCAACAGCCGCATCAAGCCCCCTCCCACAGGTCCACTGTTATGCCATTTCGCACATCTAACTAAATTTTTGTTCTTTTATAGATTAAAAAGAAGCTAACTCCAATTCCACCAAAGGACTCCAAAGAGAAAGAAACTAATTTGAATCGAGTTGGTCGTGAAATGACAAACTGTTCAATATTTCTTGGTTATACATCGAATCTTATTTCTTCTGGCACTCGGGAAACAATAAAATATTTGGTCAAAAATAATATGGTGAGTCGTGTTTGTTAAATCATCATTAAAGCGTCTGTCTATATTTAGGTATTTCTTAAAGAATTGCTTTAGCGGCCCGTGGGTTCAAAAGAAAGTATAAAGACACTGGTGTATCTTCTAACTTTTTTCCAGGAACATGGTCTTATTTTAGTAAATCTGGTAAGCGATCAACAGCTTCATGTTCCAAATTCATTCTCTCAGTTCGCAACAGCATTTGCTTACCTACAGCTCATTTCTAATTTTCATAACTCTAGACCCAATAGAGATGCTTTTCAACAACAAATTAGAATAGCGTATACAAATATCTTTCTTGATATTAACATGTTTTCCCTGGGAAATAAAGGATGTGTCCAGATATATGCCCTTTTGGCCCCTCAGTCAAATGAATGTGAAATATCGTTTTTATTACTGTCCTAGTTATATTTGTATATAGTATATTTACTTTTTCACGAGTTTTGATGCATAATTAACCCCTTGCTGAGAGTCAGAATAAGCATCTTAACAACAAAAATAGTCATTATCATAGAAAAAAACACCAATGGCAACATTTATGACATACAAAGAAGAAATAACTTAAGACTCGTGAAGAATTTTAAAAAAAATCATATTTTTGAAGTAAATTAAAGGATTAAATTTTTTTTCAAATTTTTTAATTTCCCGCCAGTTTAATTTGAAGGGGGGAAAACAAGATGGCTGCCATTTGATGTAAGAAATATCAAAAAAAAAGTTGTTTCACTTTTAGTTTTCACAATGAGCACAGTTTTCCGGTTTAGGTTTTTTGACTGATTCTGACTCTTCATCACCAGGGTCATGTATAGAGATTATAAAATTTAAACCAAAATGTTGTGCTCAGAATGAATTTGACTGAAATATGTGTAACTTCACCAACACAATTGAAGTCTCAAAACTGGATGCTCAGTAACTTTGAGTGACTATAATCCCTTGATTACCCAGATAAACACCAATTCACTTATCCAGAAATACCTTTCAATGTCTACACAAAGACAGTAAGCAATATTTTGGAGGATATGTTTCAAACTTTTTGTATAAATAATTCATTTAATATTTGCCATTGATTTTTTTTCAATTCTAGCAAAGTGATATGCATTGTCTTTGATGCCAATATTCTCCATCAATTGTGATACAAATTGATATTTTTGTAATCTCAGAGGAAGGATAAGATATTGAAGTTTAATAATATGTGTGATTGAGTTGGTTTTTCAGGCATAACAATTTTCAATATTTTCTAAGTCGATACATAGACTCATTCCCAGACTCATCCTTTCATATTCCATTCCTCCCATTAAATAACACCTGTTTATCCATTTTTAAGGTGGACTGCTTAGTGACCACTGCAGGGGGTATTGAGGAGGACTTTATAAAGTGCCTCGCACCAACCTTTCTTGGAGATTTTGCATTGCCAGGCAAACAGCTGAGGATGGGTGGAATAAATAGGACCGGGAACCTCTTGGTCCCAAATGATAATTATTGTAAATTTGAAGACTGGATTATGCCAATATTAGATAAGATGTTAGAAGAGCAAAAACAAGAGGTATGTGAATCACAAAGTTACCGAGTACAAAGACATTTAATTTAGCATTTTGGTCTCTTATACGCGGACTTACATTTGTCTGCTGATTAGTAGTTAAACAAGAGCTTTCCACATGTATTATGATATGAATATTTTTGTCCAGGTAAATGTATTTTTGATCCCTCACCAAATATGATCTCTTTTAATCGATTTGTAAAGTGAGTCCTTATTATAGCCTTGCCCAAGTCAGTCTCTTTTACTTATCTTGATTTCTATTATGATATTCAAGATCAGATAATTAGAAAATACCGACTTGGGAAAAGCTATCCTTAATACTACTTTTTCTTATTAGTTTATACATGGGCTTTCAACAGAAGGGTATGCAACTTCCCATATTTCTTACATACGTATTGCCTTTGTTTTTCAAAATTAGAGAAAAATGCTTCCTGTACACATTCCAAGAAAAATCTTATTTTGTATTTTTCATGTATGATTTAACAAATAACTCGAAAATGAAAACATGAACATCTACATACATGTTGATAATTCAATATAAAATGGAATTCATCATAATTATGGCAATAATAAAAGTGAATATTCACCAACAAGTTACTTTTTTATCAGAATGTGTTCTTGAATAATTACCCACAATGCCAAGCCCATGGTTTATATACTAGTCCTGTAAGGGACACATAGAAAAGAAACCATATTACCAGGGGACGATAATTTACTTTTAATCCGCTATGACATCATCACATTACAAAATGTCAAAAACAACAGGATGATGACCTCAGAAACTTTTTCAACAAGAAAACACTTTCCCAATTAAGGTCTTCTCCTAAAACGTGCGTTTAAACACGCGGTACAATCTTGATGAAGAGCATTACTTTTATGAACGACGAATAGATTGATCGTCGGAAAGAAAGGACAGCAGATATAAATTATTTGCTATACATTACAGAGTACAATATGGACTCCTTCAACCATGATAGCCAGGCTTGGTAAAGAGATTGATAACCCAGATTCAGTCTACTACTGGGCATATAAGGTAAATAATTAAAAACAAATCAAAATGCAAGGTGGACTGGTTATATTAATGCAAAAATGGTGGATTGTAGATTTGCATTATATACTAGTTATAAAAGTAATTCTCATAAGTACATGTAACTTCATTTTTTGCGCCAACCTAAAGAACATTGCGGCTGTCACATTAGCCATGTGGGCTCCCCGTTCGCCACCATGTGAATACTTTAGGGCAGACAACATGGCACGGGCTGTAATAGTACAATAATGTCATTTCGGTCCAATATTTCACTATATTACCCGCAGAAATGACGTTATTGTACTATTATTACCACCGTTAGAGCCAGGACTGAAACAGCAAGAAAATCTTACGCACTGAACGATATCTAATTTCCCGGGGAAAAAATGAATGCCTTCTAAACTAGCACTAAAACCCCTAGAACTGGCCCGACAAGGTGGTAATAATGCTGTTTGGAGACCGGCAACCCATTTAAACAATCAGAACACGACATGGATACACTGTGGCGAAACAAGTAGTTTTACAGCAATATATCCCCAAACACACCAAATACAACAAGTAATTAACTAATCCAGAAATTAATGCCCAAAATTAGCCAGATGGTGGCGAACAGTGGGCCCATACCTCCGAAGTGTGACAATTCCTACAACATCATACTGAAAAATATTTAAACGATTTTTTCCAGAACAACATTCCAGTGTTCAGTCCAGCTCTCAGCGATGGATCTTATGGAGATATGATCTACTTCCATTTGTATATTTAATTATGTTTTCCAGAACAACATTCCAGTGTTCAGTCCAGCTCTAACAGATAGATCTTATGGAGATATGATCTACTTCCATTTGTATATTTAATTATGTTTTCCAGAACAACATTCCAGTGTTCAGTCCAGCTCTAACAGATAGATCTTATGGAGATATGATCTATTTCCTTTCATATATTTAATTATGTTTTCCAGAACAACATTCCAGTGTTCAGTCCAGCTCTAACAGATAGATCTTATGGAGATATGATCTACTTCCATTCATATATTTAATTATGTTTTCCAGAACAACATTCCAGTGTTCAGTCCAGCTCTAACAGATAGATCTTATGGAGATATGATCTACTTCCATTTGTATATTTAATTATGTTTTCCAGAACAACATTCCAGTGTTCAGTCCAGCCTTAAGATAGATCTTATGGAGATATGATCTACTTCCATTCATATATTTAATTATGTTTTCCAGAACAACATTCCAGTATTCAGTCTAGCTCTAACAGATAGATCTTATGGAGATATGATCTACTTCCATTCATATATTTAATTATGTTTTCCAGAACAACATTCCAGTGTTCAGTCCAGCTCTAACGGATAGATCTTATGGAGATATGATCTACTTCCATTCATATATTTAATTATGTTTTCCAGAACAACATTCCAGTATTCAGTCCAGCTCTAACAGATAGATCTTATGGAGATATGATCTACTTCCATTCATATATTTAATTATGTTTTCCAGAACAACATTCCAGTGTTCAGTCCAGCTCTAACAGATAGATCTTATGGAGATATGATCTACTTCCATTCATATATTTAATTATGTTTTCCAGAACAACATTCCAGTGTTCAGTCCAGCTCTAACAGATGGATCTATTGGAGATATGATCTACTTCCATTCATATATTTAATTATGTTTTCCAGAACAACATTCCAGTGTTCAGTCCAGCTCTAACAGATGGATCTATTGGAGATATGATCTATTTCCATTCATATATTTAATTATGTTTTCCAGAACAACATTCCAGTTTCTGTCCAGCTCTAACAGATGGATCTTATGGAGATATGATCTACTTCCATTCATATATTTAATTATGTTTTCCAGAACAACATTCCAGTGTTCAGTCCAGCTCTAACAGATGGATCTATTGGAGATATGATCTACTTCCATTCATATATTTAATTATGTTTTCCAGAACAACATTCCAGTGTTCAGTCCAGCTCTCACAGATGGATCTTATGGAGATATGATCTACTTCCATTCATATTTTTAATTATGTTTTCCAGAACAACATTCCAGTGTTCAGTCCAGCTCTAACAGATGGATCTATTGGAGATATGATCTACTTCCATTTGTATATTTAATTATGTTTTCCAGAACAACATTCCAGTGTTCAGTCCAGCTCTAACCGATGGATCTTATGGAGATATGATCTACTTCCATTCATATATTTAATTATGTTTTCCAGAACAACATTCCAGTGTTCAGTCCAGCTCTAACAGATGGATCTATTGGAGATATGATCTACTTCCATTCGTATAAGAATCCAGGCCTTATACTCGATATTGCAGGAGGTATATTCCCATCATGTGTTCATTTGTGTTACATTTATCCAAGTCAGATATCGTTCTCTGTGCGTTGCATGTATCGTGAATATGCAACATATAGCAATATTTCTCATGTATATGATTAGTATTGTCGATATTGTCTATTTATATAAGTTAATTGCACAATATGTTACAGATACTATCCATGTGTGTTACATATATTGTACGTGTGTGAGATATTGCCCATGTATGTTACACATATTGTTCGTGTGTTACAGACATTGTCCATGTGCGTTACATATATGTTACATAGCTTCCTAGTCAACTCGTACCCAAGACAACTCGTACCCAAGACAACTGGTACCCAAGACAACTCGTACCCAAGATTATTTTCAGTATTATGGGTGCATATTAGGGAAAAAAATTGAGTTTTTAATGCTTTCATGTTATAATGTGAATCAAATAAGCCTCAATATTTTTTGGAATTTAGAAGACATTTTTTCTCAATGGATCAGTAAAGCATTTGTTTATTGAATAAAAGAAGCTTGAAGCGCTCGTTCTAAACATTATTTTGTCAAACATATATGTAAATAAATATAATTACAACATTAGATCTGACACTTGTTCCAAACACTCATAAACATACAATATTTTGAAAAATGATATTATGAATATGTGGAATAAACATATGTCTCTACACTCAAACATCCTGAATCTGTGACCAATATAAAATAATAGTCAATATAGCTCAAAATGTCACAAAATTAAATCAATTTCTTCCGAAAATTCTTCTTCAAACTTTAAACTATTCTGAACAGTATGTTGCAATTATAATATGTATATCTATTCACATTCCCAGTCCAACGCTTGATTCAAAACAAAATATATACTTGGGTACGAGTTGTCTTGGGTACGACTTGTCTTGGGTACGAGTTGACCAGTTACCGTTACATATAGTGTTCATGTGTTACAGATATTGTCCAAAGGTGTTGTAAATAGTGTGCGTTACAGATAGCGTCTATGTGTTACATAAATTTGTTCGTGTGTTACAGATATTTCATTTCATTTTCATTTCATTTATTTATTTTCAAACATCTGGTGAAACATACAGATAAGGCGGATGACACCCTAATGGGCATATTATCCGCACAGAGAAGATGAACATGACAAGCAGTGTTGTGTAAATTATGTATCTCCAGCCTCGCACTCCCCACCCCCATCCCCCACCCGTCAGCATGGTCTTAACAATATGGAAAGTAAACTGGGTTGCCAGTTACAGTCTCTGAGCAGTATATTCGAATAAGGTTAAGTGCTTTGAAAAATGATAGGCGATGATATATGTTGGCTTTGCCAATTAGATGATGGAATAAAAACAATGAGCAGAAAAAGAAAGAACGATAACAATAGCTACTAGGTAGACAGCATAAGTGAATAGCTAATTGGAGATTGTTATCATTGATTGATCAAAAATGACTTGATCTTTTTCTTGAAAAGAGGTATAGAGTTGCACTTAGTAACTTCATCAGGTAATATATTCCATAAATCTGGTCCCTGCTTACTGATGGAATATTTGCCAATGTTTGTTCTAAAAGTTGCTGATCTGAGTTTGAATTGTTGTCTAGTCTCATGTCTATGAATAATATTGTTTGGAGTGAAGTAATAACTGAATTGGTTTTTGGATGTTGGGTCAGTGCCTTTGATACATTTGAAAAGATATGTCAGGATACTGACTTTAAAAATTTGAAATATATTAAGAATGTTAGCATTTTTGAAGAATGGTGCAGTGTGATCTCTTAATTTACAATTTGTATCATATATTCTTATAAATTGTTTTTGCAAACGGTGAATTTTATTTAAAGAAGATTGGGGAACGTTCCCCCATACAATAAGGTTATAGTTTAAATATGAATAAATTAAGGAATAATAAATATGTTTTAAACTCTTTTTGTCTAAAAGGTGTTTGACTCTGTGAATAACTCCCAAAGTCTTTGAGATCTTCGTTTCAACATAGTTAATGTGGGCTTTCCATGATAAATGTTCATCAATAAGTGTTCCGAGGAAATTACAAACTGATTTTCTTTCAAGTGGGACGTTATTCATTGTGAGATTGACTTTGCTGTAATCTATTTCTTTTTGAGCAGTTTTGAAAATAATGAAGTTGGTTTTTGTTTGGATTGAGAGCGAGTTTGTTGCATTTAAACCATTCATTTATAATAGATAGCTCTTTATTTGCAGTAGAATTGATTTCATCAAGATTATCACCAGAAAATAGAATATTTGTGTCATCTGCGTAAAGGAACATTTCTGCTTTCTCTGAACATTTGTAGATATCGTTAATGTAAATAATAAAAAGTAATGGGCCCAGTATTGTGCCTTGAGGCACTCCACAGGTAAAATTGGCTATATCTGAGGTTGTATCATCAATTTCTACAATTTGAGATCGATCTGAGAGATAACTTTGGAACCATTTGAGAGCAGTACCTCTTATGCCATAGTGATCTAGTTTTTTCAAAAGAATAGTATGGTTTAAAGTATCAAACGCTTTTGAAAGGTCACACATAATTCCTAAACAAAGTTTCTTTTTATCAATAGCAAGTCGTACGGTTTCAACAAATTTTAAAAGTACCATGAAAGTTGAGTGATTTTTCTTAAATCCGTATTGGTGGGCATAAAATACATTTTGTTTTTCAAGAAAATCAAAAGTTCGAATATATATACATTTCTCAAAGATTTTTGAAAAGACTGATAAGAGAGAGATAGGTCTATAATGGTTAATTACATCTGTTCTGTCTTTTTTGTGGATTGGAATTACTTTTGCGAATTTAAGTTTATCTGGAAATACTCCAGATGAAAATGAAAGGTTAATAACATGCATAATTGGAAAGCCTAGAAATTCACTGCATTCCTTTATAACAATAGGTTTAAAATTATCTGGCCCAGCTGCTGAGTCAGATAGCTGCGTGATAATTTTAACAATTTCTGTATGATTGGCTGGAGTAAGAAATATGGAATTATTTACTCTATTCATTTTATTCAAAAAAGTATCAGGTGAATAGTTGGATTGTCCTACATTTTTTGCACAATTAAGCCCTACATTTGAAAAAAAGTTGTTGAATCCGTTGGCTATATTTTTCTTACCTGTTATTGTTTTATTATTTTCTGTAAATGAGGTAGGTAGAGGCTTGTAATTTTTCTTTTTTCTTTGCATAATTTCGTTCAAAATTTCCCAAGTTTTTTTAATATTAGATGATACTTCTGAGAACCTAGATTGATAATATTTTCTTTCAGCAATCCTCATAATATGTTTCAATCTATTCTTATAATTTTTATAAATTTGATTATTTTCCTGCGTTGAGTTTTTAAGATATTTTAGGTAAAGTTTATTTTTTGTCTTACAAGAAGTTATTATGCCAGATGTGAGCCAAGGTTTACCGTTGTTTTTAAATTGCTTGACATTTTTGGATTTAACAGGGAAGGCCTGTTCATATTGGATTGATAATTTGTTATTGAAAATTGAATAAGCTTCATTAGTATCTTGACATTCAGTAACATCACTCCAGTCAATCATTCGTACATTACGTTTGAAATTACTTATAGAGTTATCATTTATTAATCTGTAGTGTATATCTTTAGTCATAGTTGATTTTACATTTTTTTCTGTAATGGCAAAAATGGGTAGGTGGTCAGAAATTGATTGAACTAGTATACCTGCTGATTTTATATTTGGGACATTAGTGAAGATGTTGTCAATTAAGGTTGCTGAATGAGGTGTGAGGTGATATTGTCCATGTGTGTTCCATATAGTGTCTGCGTGTTACATAAATTTGTTATTATCCATGTGTGTTACATACTGTTAATTCGTATGTTACAGATATTGCCCCTGTGTGCTAGTGGTCCTCAATGTGTGTTACATATATTGTTCATGTCTTATTACAGATGTTCGTAAGATGAACAACCAAACTGTATATGCGGAGAACACTGGTATGATAATCCTAGGTGGAGGCTTAGTGAAGCACCATATATGTAACGCAAATATGATGGTAAGTTTCCTCTAAGGGCTACGTGCTGTTTGCTGTTTAGATATGATTGTATTTTTGAGTCATTGGAACGTTTCTACTGCATGCTTTTAACAATTGTTGTCTGTTTACCAAGTATTTTGTGAAAGAACGTGGGAATAGATAGGGAGTTCTGGATCATATCTGAGACTAACATAAAAGTCGGGGATCATACATGCAGAGATCTCAAATCTTGACGTATGCCTAGGTCACCTTTGCTTTGATCCATCGACCGGCGCCCGGCCGATTGCAGTATTTTGTTCAAAACTAATTTCAAACTTGCTTCAAATTGACCAAACTTTTTTTAAATTTGAGATTTGACCTTCAATTTTGAACAAAATACTTGAAATTGGCCGGGCGCCGGCCGATGAATCGAAGTAAGTGTGACCAAGGTATTATGCTCAGGTTTCCAAACGGTAGTTTTGTCCACTGTTCTATCAGTGTGTGTCCACTCATGAGAATAATGTTTCAGTCTTTGTTAAATTGTTTGTATCTGTGAATGATGCATACTAGGTAAGTTTAATCATGTACATGTACAAATATGGAAATAAAAGTTTAGAAATAAGTAAATAAACATGTACAAATATGTAATTGAACAATTTTAATCATTAGACCCATCTTAATATATATTCATGACTTTACAGAGAAATGGTGCAAACTTTGCAGTCTATGTCAACACTGCTAATGAGTTTGATGGTAGTGATGCCGGTGCTCGTCCTGATGAAGCCGTGTCTTGGGGGAAGATCAAAATGGACGCAACCCCCGTGAAGGTAAAACCCCAGATATAAATGAATAAACACAAGGAGCACACGCGTCTCGAACGCGCAACCTCGTGGTTACGGCGCCCAATCGCCTAGCCTGAACGTGCTGGATGTAGGAGGACACATTTCACTTTATATTTACTTCAAGGGATACTACATTTTTTATTCAAAATTACAACAGTGTATTGTATTATCTCTTCTCGGCTATATACTGTAAATTTCTCCTTGCAGATATACGGCGAGGCATCAATGGTGTTTCCTCTTCTGGTGGCAGAAACATTTGCAAGGACTTTTAAACGCGAGGAATGATCCATCAAATGGACGATTTTAAAGCATGTTGATGATAGCTAAAGATTCAATTGCCAACTTGGAATTATAGAATTGATGAGAATATAATCAATTTCACTGCATCTAAAATAGCTATACACTCTTGGAAATATTGAATGCGACTTTAGTGAAGTGTGTTTGTTTGATATAACACAATTGTGTATGGACAACATTATATATAAGGCTTTACATGTATATATAGGTACAAAGATGACCAACTTTCATTATTTCAGCCTAAAGGATATCGGTGCTTCCATTGTATGGCATGAAAAAATGTACTGTACTTCAAATATGATTTTCATTGAGAAAACTATATATACAATGGCAAGATTTCAGCAATTTGTTAACAAGTTTTAACACGTTTATATACATGTTGATGAACTATTGTATAATATTACACATGTGGTATATTGTGTATGAAAACCTATAACCGTACTACAGGTAAAACTCTATGAAATAAATATTCAAAATAAATTTTTGAAAAAACTGCAATCATCTTTAAATATGAATAATTTAAAAACTGTAAACAAGAAAATGATATTGGGTTTGATTTTATAACTATTAGAGTCATAGTCAAATATAAGTAATTAATACTGTTAACAGGGAATATGATATTGGGTTTGATTTGATAAATATTAGAATCTTATTCAAATATAAGTAATTAATACTGTTAACAGGGAATATGATATTGGGGTTGATTCTATAACTATCAGAATCATATTCAAATATAAATAATTTAATAACAGGAAATATAATATTGGGTTTGCTTTTACAACTTGCTAATTTTTCCAAGTTATCTGACCTTCCCCGTCCGTTAATAAAAAAAAGTATGACAGTTGATAAGACCATATTGCGAATCTGCAATAAAAGTGATTTGAATCTAAATATTGTTGCGAAACTGAGATAGGTAGGTTTGAGGTTTTTTAAAAGTGGTACTGAAATAATAAAAAAAATATGTGGAATATACACTGCAGTGTATAAGGATCCAATAGAAAATTCAGGTACAATCCTGTCTAGTACAATTGCTTAGTGGTCCACCAAACGCATTCCTCATGAACATGCATAATCATAAAAATAGTACAATGATCTGAATAGTACCTGACCCATCTTTTCAGAAAATGTGTTCCCATAATTCCCACCATGATCTGTGTGATAATGGTGAGTAAAACATAATCACACTACCCTACCACGTGACCACATTTAAAAATGATACAGGGTACGGTTAAGTTGCAAATGGAGCGGGTATTCTCTATCTTTGTCCATTGGGCTTTTCTGGTAATGATACGTTGCAAACTGCTCGATGAATCTATACAATGTATAGTAGAACACTTAGAATATGTGTAAAATCTAGTATACATTCAGAGCTATGGAAATAAACAAACGTCCTCCATTTGCAACTTCCCTGTAGCCTGTACTTCTTTTAAAGGAATACAGGATACAGTACGGGGGTATAGTAGTGTGATAATAGTCACAATACGGGGGCGTTACCTGGATTCAAAAATGGGCTGTCTCTTGGCTAGTTACGTAATGGCCCACACGATTTTGACACGTGTTAACCCTACATACTTTTGCTGAAAATATTAGTAATGCCCTTATCGCCCACAAATCTCGATAAGAGCTGGACAATCATGAAAAAGTATCACCAGCTCAGAGCATTGACACATGACATCAACCCAGGATATCAACACATGACATCCACCCAGGATATCAACACATGACATCAATCCAAGACATCTACACATGACATCAACACAGGATATCAACACATGACGTCAACCCAGAAAATCAACACATCCCACCAATCCAGGACATCAACACATGACTTCAACTCAGGACATCAGCACATGACATCAACCCAGGATATCAATACATGGCATTAATCCAGGACATCAACACATGACATCAGCACATGACATCAGCACAAATCTCGATAAAAGCTGGACAAAATCATGAAAAAGTACCATCAACACAGAACATCGACACCTGCCATCAATCCAGGACATCAACCCAGGATATCAACCCATGACATCAATCCAGGACATCAACACATGACATGAACAGAGGACATCAACACATGGCATCAACCCAGGATATCAACATATGACATCAACCCATGACATAAGCACATGACGTCAACCCAGGACATAGATACAGGCTATCAACCCAGGACATCAACACACATACATGTACTTGTATATTTCCCAGAAAGAGTTTATTAGTCCTAAATCAATACGAAATTATATAGTCAAATTAAGTTTGTGTTAATCAGCTGGTAAATATATTCAATGATTAAATAATTTAAGTCAAAGTTAATCACCTATTTTGCTGGCCTTTGTACACTTTACCTGACAGTAATGTTTTTTATTCATCCTTAATTATTGCTCATTGTTTCCTTTACTTGGACGCAAGTGTCAGAAACTGAAAGAAAGCTACTCAAACATATTTTGCACAATGACGTTTTTGAAACTAAGCCATGAATAACCATTGATAAGAGACTACTAAATAATTTAATTGAGTCTTCTGTTTTTAATAAATACATTTGCTGATATAAGTGCCAAGAAGCAACACAAATGCAAATGTTTTTTCTATTTTTTAAATTTTAATGACTTATCGACAGATGTTGGCCACTACTGTTGTTCTTATAAACCTTGATCACTACAAAACAGGTACGAGGTCAACGGCCTTTGAGAAAAGGACCGTTAGTCCCTTAGCTGCTCCAAAAAATGTGCCGTTGTTCAGTACTCCGCCACAAAAAAATGAACATACCGTTTGAAATAACCGACTTCACTTATATATTTCGTTTTGGTTGTAACAATAGCATTTGCCTCTAAAATCGGGTCATACAAGGCTGCCCTACTGGAAACAACTTTTTTATATATTTTTTACTTTTTTACCACATAACTGCATTTGTAATAGGACGTGAATTGATTTTGATAAAAATTAAGTTCTTTTGATTAACAAGAGACTATAGACTTTGGAAAATGTCATTCTCTAGTAGCAACTGTCAGCTGATGATTCGTTTGCAATTTTATGGCCGACTCGTTTAAATATACTCCTCAAAAAATGTTCAGAAAGCATTTTTAACAAATGTTTTACTGAAAAGATATTCCAAAATTTGAGTTGCCCCTAAGCCACCATTCCCCATTTGTTCAAATTTTTGAATATCTTTTCAGTAAAACATTTGTTAAAAATACTTTCTGAATAGAAAATTGTTGTGTAATGACATGAAATTATAATTACAAATGTAAGTTTGGCACAATCCATGAATGTGCTGTCAGTATTGTGTTATACGCTGAGGCCATCTAGCGGAAATAAATAGAACTAGACGCCATCTTGAAAAGAGCATGGTTTTGTTGAACTAGATGTTAAATGGATCAATTACATCTTATAGTGAGTTAATCACCTGGAATAAGCAATTCTACAAAAATCGAATGGTTTTACGTTGACATGATAAACTCGCTTATATTGGTAAAATGTTCTAGTCCTTAACATTTTTTGAGGAGTATATTTAAACGAGTCGGCCATAAAATTGCAAAACAAATATGGGGGTTAACATGTAAACCTATGAGGAAAACCATTGGTCCTTAACCTTTTTTGAGGAGTATATTATGAATAATACCTGCTACAATTAATTCAAATAAGTCAATGCCACATAGTGCAGTACATTTCCATGACAAAACCAGACCATCTCGTTTTATGAAATAACTTCAATAAGTAAAAGTCTTTGAACTTCGTGTGTACTTTACATGAGGGGAATCGATAGAAACCGGTTGTGAGGTATGTACTTGCGTGTCAGATCAGATGGCCAGGCCATTTCAAACTGGCACTACATACATATAACATAATAGATGATTTTAATTATAAATTGATAAGTTGAATGAAGGAGCAAATAAAATAAAGTTTGACTGAAAGAATGAAATCATTGAACGCCTTTTTAATAAAAGTGAATATAAAATTCATTTGTACTTCAGCGTAGCAGCATTAAAAAATGGTATAAATTGATTAACCTGTTAGAGTCGGCTCAGTACCTCGAGAGAACTCCCGTATTAACTTGAGACAAGGGAGTCAAGAGAACCTAACAATGGGGACAGGTTGTATGAGAACTACCTTGAGTTTATTCTCATTGATAGTCATAATAAAGTGTTGTTTTGCGAACTTGTCTGCAGTTGGTGACAATTTTAGGGCGTTGGCCATGCCTCCGGACGGAGCTGGAGAGAGAGACGCCATTCGAACATCATTCAGAATTATCCATCCAGCCACGATCAACGCCGATGGCAGCTTCAATGATATCAACTACGGAGATAAAAGTGGTCGTATAAAACATGGGGAACGTTTAAGTAAACTCATCCAAGCTTATTATCTAAATATACCAGTGGATTACAAGTACAATTATTTTTATCAGAATTCAACTACTTGGCAGTGGATCGCAAAATCTTGGGAGTTCGTAGCCTATGTCGCTCCTGACGTCACGGACTGGAACTGGTGGACGGCACAAATCGGTACCCCAAGGTCCTTCTGGCAAGGTCTCTTCCTGTCAAGAGGAAAAATCAGTGATACATTGTACGACGATATGATCAAAAGATATTGGACGAATGCTAAAGTTTGGGACGTTTCAACCATAGATGGTAAAATGTCGGCATCAAATTTGGCCAATAGGGGATTTCTAGGGTTGTTTGAGACGTTTTATCAAGGTGAAGGTCGATTTAGTGACAGACGGAACGCGCTCCTTCAACTTTTGGAGAAGGAAGTAGTAAATAAAGCTGCATATCAAGGTAAGAAAAATTACAATTTATTTTATCGGATCAGTTTAGCATTTCGGAATCTATCGTTTAAAATTGTACCAATAATCTATACAAATTAATCGTTCTTCCTATACAGGAGAGGGTGTAGGAGCTGATTATTGTATCCACGTACATAACATACATGAGGGGGTATGGGAGGTCCCTTACTACAGTTCACACCTACGATTGATGATCTACAATGGCGGATACGGGGCAGAATATCTCAAGAGATTTGCTTTCATCTACATTCTTCTTCAGAAAACTCCATACCAGGTAACGCAGCCTCTCTCTCTCATTCCCTCAACACGTTTCTATAACTTTAAAATGCTACTTTCAAGCATCTAACCACTGTTATGTTTTCAGGTCGATGAGGTCGTGTTGTCAGAATTCATTAATGTGTTCTTGGAGTGTCATCAATATTTGGTTCGCGGCAAAACATTTGAGCCGTCCGCTGTCGGACGTAATATCGATGATAACCAGCGAGTGACTTATTGGGCGGCTTACGACTCCGTGTACAAAGTGAGTGAAGTCATATGTTTGCCATTTTCTTAGATTTTTCACTTTGGTATCTCAATTTCTTCAACAATTTTTTACGATACGTGAAATATGATCGGTGATTGTTCTGCTTTTTGAGTTTTCCATATTATTTGTGTTGCTTCATCATAGGTCGCAGTATTGCTGTTGCAACTTGACTTCCGCAGACAAGAATTAGAAAACGTAATTACAAGATATCAAAACAATGGTCCAACTAGTGCGTCAAACGCCCTCATTGGTAACAGGGGATTATTCGCCTCAGATATGATGGTCCACCATAGATTAGGCTACATGGCGAGTGTGCGTATGTTTTCTACTCGCACGGTCCGACCAGAGACGTGGGTAAACGCCCGCAGAACAAGAAATCCCTACGGGTAATAACATATTGCATATTTGTGTCTTTCTAAGCAGAATTAATTATACCTTTTTACGAGGGCTGATCAATAAAAAATGGACGTTTTATTCAGGGATGCTTTTTATAGACCAATCGCATGATATTGTTTCATTAAAAATATTTTCAGTTAAAAAGAATTTAAAATATTTGACTGTACTGTAACTAAAAAAATTAATATATTGTCCATATGTTTTGAAACTCAAGGTACTATACTGGAGATGGATTTGTGTCACTCTTGCAGGACGATCACGAGTTTGGAGTAAGATTCAACGAGGTTTTTCAATATTGGGATTGGGAAAAAATTCCAGGTATGTGAATGCAAGGATACACAACACGCCTATATAGAACCATGCATAATGTAATCCCTTTATATCTGTTATTACCAACTGAACCATACTTGTTACCTCGTAACCATAATTTGTTTTTCTTTAAACTGGTGATCGATTGAAGGTGCTTGTTGCTGTTCAGTTGTTTTGTTGTTTCTTTTCATTTGTCACATCGTTTCCTTATTAATGTGCATCATATTGCAGGTACCACCGTTGTCATCAGTGGAAAGGTTCCCCAGGAGGGGATGGAGAGGGTTGGCGGCATTCCAAACTTTCCTCATCACATAAGCAATGCCAAATTTGTTGGCAGTGCCTCGGATGGAATGTACGGTGCTTCTGTGATGGTCTACGATCGTCCAACCGTCAATATAACAATGAAGAAGTCTTGGTTTTTCTTTGATGATGAAGTCGTCTGCTTGGGTAGTGATATAGAGCGACGTGAAACCAATGAGGTGACCGAACTACCGATTATCACTACGCTGAATCAAATAGTCCAAGATGGTAACATTGCGTATAGCGTATCAGGAACATGGCAAACTGTAGGCTCGGACACGTCGTTACAAATCCCAAATGCTAAATGGATTCATCACGCCAACATGGGATATGTGTTTCCAAACGGGGCAGATGCCAGTATCGAATCCTATGCTAGGACAGCAAATGGTAAAACTCTGGAAGTCGCTACCATGTGGATGGAACATGGTGTTAAACCGTATGCGTACATCATGTACCCAGGTGTAACCATAGCTCAAACTGAGGAACGCCAGACTTATCCATCAGTGTTGATCTTGCAACAGGACTCAAATGCCCACACCGTGTACCAGTTAACACTTGATATACTCTCGATGGTTGTATTCTCCGGTCCATACTCCTTTGTTCATCCAAAATCATCTTACTCCATTACAGTTGACAAGGCTTGTATTGTGATGATTCAGCACCTTGGCAACAGTATGTCAGTTACTGTTTCATTCCCTACGCAGTTGGCTGCGACGGTCAGCATTTCATTAGGTCTGAATGTAAACGGCGATGGCGCACATTACAATCCAACTGAAAAGAAGTCGGTTGTGAAGTTCTCTTTCTCTGATGATTATCTGGTTGCTGGAAAAAGTCAAACCAAGAAGTACGAGATTGTCGCATAATATTGTTTGGAAAAGCAACATTCACATATCGCACTGACTGTCAGATCACTAGTTGACTATGTGATGCATTCTCCATTTGGGGTGGACTTTGAGTAAGGTTGACAACCGGCTTTGAGAAAAATGTGTAGCCCGAACTCAGAAAAATAGTTACTGGTATAGCTACCAATGAGAAGAACCCTACATGTAAAATCGGATCTTTTTCTTAGAATCTCAAATTCTTGTTAAATTCTCAAATTCTTGTTATATCGTTTCATATTCTGTTGCAATAGGTTTTGGTGGCTGGTACTTTATCAAAAATAAATTTATCATAACGTATGTTTAAGTACTAAATATTAATAAATGAGTAAAGGCTAATGTCCCGTCCACTGGTCACTACTAGGTATACATTAAAAATACATTACAACTGGTTTCGCTTGGAGTTTTTGAATTAGTTTATTGAGGATTTCAACAAGGGCCGATTTTCAAAAATATTTTTAAAAGAAATCTCTTCACAATATACACATTTGTTTCACAAAAACAGATCATTTAAAACCTTATGATGTAGGCCAGGACTCAGCATGGGTTTTGGGAAGTTCAAGGGCCACTTGATAGACATAATGTTTCTGAAAGATGACTTCATTTAGCATCAATTCATATATGTCTGGGTCTTTTTAGTTTGTGGACGAAGGATTCTGAGCAGTTTTACCCCCCTAGAATAATATTTCAGGGGGGTACTATATTATCATTCTATAAAATCAGTTATACATTAACTATAGCACTGATTTATGCATATTATGTTGCTAGCACTGTAGTCAAGTGTTTCCCAAAGTTATAGGGAGATATGTTGATTGGTTTGGGAGAAAATATAATTTATCGAAATAAAACGCATAGTTTCGTTATCTTTTTATTTTCACCAATCTTATTTTTGCAGCTTCAGAGAAATAATAGTCAGTAATAGTGCTCCAAGTAGTAATCAAAAATCATTTCCAGGCTATGTGTGACATTGTAATATAAGGAATGTAATGATTGAGTACAATTTTGCATTTTTAATATGGCTTTGTTGACCCCTACCCCTTACCCTTTTTAGTCTTACCGATTTTATTGTTGCAGCTTCAGAGAAATAATAGGCAGTAACAGTGCTCCAAGTAGTATTCAAAAATCATTTCCAAGCTATGTGTGACATTGTAATGTAAGTAATGTAATGATGGCTTTGTTGACCCCTACCCCTTACCCCTTTTTAGTCTTACCGATTTATTGTTGCAGCTTCAGAGAAATAATAGGCAGTAACAGTGCTCCAAGTAGTATTCAAAAATCATTTCCAAGCTATGTGTGACATTGTAATGTAAGTAATGTAATGATAAAGTACTATTTTGTATTTTTAATATGGCTTTGTTGACCCCTACCCCTTAGAAATACAAGAACGCGGAGGGGGCACAATTGGATCAGAAATTCTATGATGACTACTTATGTCCTGCCTTGTATATGATAATATAGTACCCTAGGGGGGTAAAACTGCTCAGAATCCTTCGTCCACAAACTAAAAAGACCCAGACATATATGAATTGATGCTAAATGAAGTCATCTTTCAGAAACATTATGTCTACTAAGTGGCCCTTGAACTTCCCAAAACCCATGCTGAGTCCTGGCCTAATGTCAGAAAAAATAAAATATAAGTTGCTAAATGTTATAACCATCACACAAGATAATAAATTCTGTTTTTAGTTTTCCCCCTTTTCTATGACCTTAGCTTCCTACTGATTATCATCACTTTTTTCATCTATGACCTTCCCACAAGTTATTATATTTTTGGTGGTGAAAATCAAAAACAATTCTTATCTTAATAAGATCGCAGATAAGGCCAAATTATGTCTTTTTCTAATTATTGTTAAAATTGTTTTGCCCATGGAAAGTGAGAAAGTGTTAAAAAAATAATAAGATTCGTTAAAAATATGTCAGTTGCGAAATGTTTTTTGAAAATCTCAAACTCTCTTGCTGTGTCTATTGTATAAACATACATCAAAATTAAAACCAAAACTAAAAAAGACCCTTGCTAACACCATGGGCATTCAATAGACTCTATTGAAAGCCTATGCTTACACTCTTAATAACTTTTATATACTCAAATCGATTCACCTGAGTATAGCCAAATAAATCAATAAATGACCATGGGTGAGAAGTAAAGTATTGGTTAAAGTTTTTTGTTCTGAGTTTTGTTCATAAAAGGACACCTGTTTAATACCGATAAAATTTAAACTCCAAGGAATTTTACTAAATTTGTAAAAATAATCAAGGAGTGTCTATATTATTGTTTCAAAGTATTAAAAAGGGGTTCTGCAAAAGGACATAAAACTTTAACCGAAGCGTCTTTTAGAAATTTCGGGTTGACACCATATCTGAAATCGTAAGCAATATTCATGGAGCGGTGGCGTGGCGAACCAATGCCCAGTAGCCGATTGGTCCCTGAACCCGGCCCCTGAAGAAGATGAAAAACGATTGTCCGTCGAAACATAGTGAGAAAGTTTCAACATAAATCAAACATAATTTTGAATGGATGTCATTAAGATACCAAATTGTTCTGAGGGTATAGTGTATCACCCATGAATACAGTTCTGTGGACTCTGAGAAACCAATCCATATCCACATATCAATAATGATTACCATTATATAGAATTCGAATTAGCCAAGTTGATGGGCTGTTAAACCCCCGAAATTCAACAATCCATATAAAAGATGCCTGGAGATTGAAGGACAATGTATGTTCTATCTTTGTTTAATAAAAGTATTGCAGATGTCAAAGGAACAATGACCTGAAAATAAGACAAATCAATAAAACCTGTATTATAGCAAGTGTTTCAGGTATCTAGCCATGCATTTTGGATTGAATCAACCCGGGGGCACGAGTTGTCAAGCATATGGAATGCTACGTCAATAAAACAACCGTTGTTTGACAATTAGTCTTGCATCGTTCAGGAAATCCATTCTATTTCGTTTTTTGGTTGCTTGAATATTTTTCTTATTAGTATCACAAACAATGGTCAACTTTCCTATGTACGGTACTTGCTAAATCTATTCCTTTCACTTTCTTAATTTGTTTTGATGAATAAAATATATCAGTGTTTACCATGATATTATTTTTGAAGGAATATCACATGACATCATCACGCCTATCAGTTTCATGCTCCCTGACGTATTGACATATGACGGCAAATCAATGCGTTTTATTGCTGACATTTATGTGTTTTGAGGTATATAAATGTTCAAATAACATCAAGAGCTCATCACACAATTCGGGATCTTTCGAAGGAACGCTAGCCAGAACCAGAACCAGCAACTTCAACAGCTCAAGATGAACAGTCTCGTGATTTTAGCAGTTCTTGTGATTGGTACCTACGGCCAGCTGAATCAAGTAGCAGACTACGAAGGAAACCTTTTTGGTAAGAAAACTTTAAAAGTAAAGATTGAATTCAAGTTCAGAAAGTGGCGGATATTTTGCATTTGGTAAGATCATAGATCGCATAGTGTTGTGAAACTAGCTAGTATTCCCGATTGCTTTGATTCTGTTCAGATTTTCCACTAACCTTTTATTGGTCGATTTGCGTTAATAAAAGTTGAAATCTTGAAACCATCTAAAATCAAAGTCGTCCAAAATATTCAATCATACGCGCTTTAAAAAGAAAAGAACGTATCAGAATGTGAATACGTTCTATATGCGGTAGGTTTCCTTGAGTTTGATATTTTATCTGAATAATCCTTTAAGGGAAGTACTTTTTGGAAAAATCGATTCACTGCATATTCTTCATCTCAATTTTTTCATCAGTTACAATAGTCTGCTCAAGATTATCCTGTCAATAATCGCTATAGGTCAGAAAACCGTTTTTCAATGTAGGTTGATATCGTGATATCTTTTCAGTAAAAGTCCCCAAGCTGCCATGTAAGGTTTGAAAATATTTTTATATCATTCATTTACTATTTGCCATGACTTTAAAAGTTATTTTAGAGATTTTTGAAAAAAAGTTCTTGAAAAAAATTGTGAGGATTTCATTTCTCAAATATTCAAATTTCCCGCCATTTTTCAAAAAAGTTGAAATTTTTTATTCATCCAATATTTCTTCATACATTCCCAAAAAGATTATCTTTTTAAAACCATTGCAAAGATTGAACAAAGCACACACTATTTCAATAATAAAATGCCATATTTAATGGGCCACTTCAATGTTTCAGCATATCAAAAATATTTTGCAACATTAGTGATGTCACTCACTCACTCATCAGGTGGCAAAAACTTTTTGAAAAGATTGACTTTTTTCTCAGTTTTTGAAAAAAAATTGAAATGCATTTTTCTCTGAACCATTTCATTTTTCGCTTATTTATGAACCGAATTTCTTAATTGTTTCGGCAAAAACATGCGAGGATGAATGCTATGCGTTGGTATGAAGCGTGGCTTACTAAAAGATACGTGTGACCTCTAAAAGTTAGTTTTAAATAAATTCACGATTTTTTTAACAAAAAGTCCTTCAAAAAAACACTTTTTGAAATTAAAAAAAAGTTTCACACATCACACTTTGATAACATTAGGTAAGACTACTATATAAGCCAAAGTGGTTTAAACTTTATATGGGGACTTTAAGTTAATAAAATCATTTCAGACTCCAGTGTTATCTCATTGGGAAAACTTTTTTAGAAACTTTTAGAAATATTATGAGAGTCATCAATTTCTGAGTCTGTGAAATCAGGTCTTCTTAGCATTTAAATAAAATAATTAACATAAAATAGGAACGTTCGAGCGGTAGATGTCAACTCTCTTGAGAATTATCCAGTTACATTGCCTAACTACTCTAACTTTCCAGACTGCGAATTCGTTGCTAGCTCAACTAGCTGCTGTATGTTTAAGCGTTTCGACGCGGGGGAGGATTTTGCAATGTGCATGGGTGGATCAGCCTGGAACCAGGTAAATTGCACATGCTCGGATGCTGATTTGGTAGACAACTGTGACCCAGCTGTTGATTGTGCAAGTGAGTTCCGTACATCAAAACAATCTTTCGTTTTTCATGAACCGATTCAACCATTGACCCGGACTGGAACCATTGTTAAAATACCCAATGGAAACTACTCCAGCTCATCCGGTGCCAGGACCATAGTCCTGAGAACGTCCCCCAGTCTGTTGCCTGTATGATTACAACATAGGAGAAAATTCCACGCCTCCAACACTAAATGACCTGATTATATCAAATAAGATAAATGGGGATTCCCCTTTCGCCATCTTGAAAAAAGGTGCGATATAGTTACTTGATGAAAACGAAAATTTTCTCGTTCTGCCTATAATCCCCACGATTTGAAATTCAACTTCACAAAACGAATCCTAAAATACCGGCAGAAATGTATTGAGGTAGGTAATTTTGAGGTAGGTGTTGGAGGCAACCTATCTGAATGTTCTCAAAAATATAGTCCTAGCACGGGATAAACAACTTATAGTCCAGCGACTTATTTCTTTAAAAACATGATATGTCATTGAATGAAAGGCTTGTAAGCATTAATTTTTAAAATATTTTAATGTCATTTTTTTCCTGTTCAAGGTGGTGTTTATCAGGAAAAGGTTGACGCAATATGTAAAGATGCAGCAGCTCTTGCCTCAAGTGAGTGAGAAATTATTGTCTTGCTAGGTATTTTTCAAAAATCAGAACATAGTGCAATTCACAAGATCTAGATGGTAACAAATATTCGTACATACCCCAGGTACATACTCCCCTCCATAAGTTTGGCAACCTTAGCTCCCCCATTGAACTACGTGTTAAAGCCTCTTTACCTTTGAATTTTTATTTACTTAACCTGCGATGAAAATACTTATACTATTGATGGAAACGTAATTTGACTTTATTTCCAATACTTCCAAATTTTCTCTATTTTTCCTCGAAAAGTCGAAAATTGATGATAAATTTGATGAATTTTTGAAAATCGACATTCCCATGTTAACCAATGGGAAATGGTAGATTTGCCGCAAGTCATATGACAGAATATCTATCCATCCGAGTCCTTGCAAAAAAGCGAGTTAGGTAGGCAATTGAATTTGCTTACTTTATTTAACAAAAAATGTATATGTTTCTTCAGGTTCAACAAAGTCAAAATTGTTTTTCAAAAAAACTCTCCCATTGAAGTAACACAAGAGGCGAAAAATTATTTTCAAAAACGACTTTGAAGCGCTGTAACTTTACATGGGAATGACGATTTTCAAAAATTCAGCAAATTTATCATCAATTTTTGAACTATTGTAATTGAGAAATTGGGAAACTTTGGAGGTATTTGAAATGAAGTCAAGTTACGCTTCCATCAATATTATACGTTATTTCATCGCAGGTTAAGTAAATAAAAATTCATACGTAAAGAGGCGTTAACACGTAGTTCAATTGGGGAGCTAAGGTTGCCAAACTTATGGAGGGGAGTGTACATTATGTTATTGTAGATGTCTAATAGTTCTAGAGTTACAGGATGAAATGTTTGAATCGCCAATGGGTATCTCCTCCCCTTTCTCTGTTTGAAACGTTGTTATTTGTTTTATTTTGCCATTTTAGGCGGTGGATGTTGTCAAAACAATAGAGTGTATTACCCTGTTGACGGTGTAAGCAGCAACTATACCTTCAACGGCGAGGAATTGGCATGTCACCCAGTGATGGACTTTAACGTTTCCGAGTGCGCCTGTGTTGGACTCGCCCTTATGGATATGTACTTCCCATAATGAGTGCCATTGGGAGACAGATGCACCAGTAGTACCATAATTAGTCTGTACGATGTCATGGAGAAATAAATAGATATGAAATGCATAATTTCCTTCAATATGATATTTGTTTGTAGATAGGATATTTTGTTCTTTGAGAGTTCATGAGCTGATTGTTCTTAACTCATGATAATGAGTTGGTTGTCCGGGCATCTGTTAAAGAACCAACTACGGCTAAGTGTCCTAGACATGTGCTCTACGCTGGGTTATTTTTTGTAAACCCATTAGCAAGGGATTTCACCTAGAAAATGTGGCTCATCATGATAATGAGATGGTTGTCCGGGCATCTGTTAAAGAACCAACTACGGCTAAGTGTCCTAGACATGTGCTCTACGCTGGGTTATGTTTTGTAAGCCCATTAGCAAGGGCTTTCACCTTAAAAATGCGGCTCCATCAAGGACCTGTTAAAGAATCAAAAATATGAAAATGTAAAAAAAATCATCATAAATGAAGTTAGATACAAGATATTGTTTTAAAACGAAATTAATAACGAAGAATAAGTAGCGTTAACCTTTTGGAACAAAAAAAAGCTCAATGTATAGTTTTAAAACGAATTAAATAATGTATGTCTGGTTCTGCTTTTAACCTTTGTTTTATGGCTGCGTCCGTCTGTCTGCCGTGGCAATAACTCAAATACTGTTGGACAAATACCCTATCTATTTTATACATATCTGCCCCATGTGAATACAAGTTCTGATCGAAAGACAATTTTCAAAATGGCCACCAGTTTCAAAATAGCCACCACTTATTATCAATTTTACAGTGTTTTAGGTAGACACATAAAAGCCTGTTGTAGGAGAGTCAGAAAAAGGTAACCCAAACAAATCTAAATAACTCCGTCATTCAACAACGATTTGAAGTCATACTTGGCAAAATTTGGGAAAGTGGCGGCCATTACACACGCGCCATTTTGTACGATTTTTGCTGTAACTGGAAAAGAGGTGGAGCGATTTTATTCATATATACAGGGTGGGCCAAAAAAACAATACCAAACTTCAAATCAGGATAAAAATAGTTACATTCAATATGGAACATTGACTTACATATCATTTTAAAGGTTATACAATTTCAAACAATTTGGTATATAACACTATGTCATGAAATCAATAGTAAAGTTTTATTCTACTTATTTGGGAGGCCGGGTTGCTATTTAGGTCTCCAAATTTAACGGAGAAAATTGTAAATCTGCGGAATTATGTTACTTTTTTATTTATAGAATACATGCTTGGATATTGATATTTGCATCATTGTGTGACTCAATTTATTGTTCATGAATTTCAGTGTTGTTTAATAACATTTTACACTTTATTTATTTAAACAATTTTAACAATTGCTCAATATACCCCAACCCCCTCCCCTCTGCATCAACAATAAGCTTCAAGTGGTAGCGCAATCTATTAATAGCCTTATTGAGAAATCTCTGATTTCATCACTTTAGGATTCTGTTTCAGCTCATCAATGCTGTTTATTGGATGCTTTTGATTGTACTATTTCCTCGAGATGGCTCCATGTATGGTAATCAAACACATTAGCATCGGGACTGTTAGGTGGCCAAGCATCGAGATCAATCAAATTGACACTTTGTTTGCAAAGAAATGCCAATGTCTCCTTTGATCTATGGTATGAGGCAATGTCTTGTTGGAAAATAAAATCCTCGTCACATATACGTTTAATGTCTTTTAACAGACCCTCTTTGAGTACTTATTGATAATAAACAACACTAAAATTCATAAACAATAAGTTTAGTCACACAATATGCAAATATACAAGCATGTATTTACCTAACAAAAAGATATTCTATAAATAAAAAATTGATATTATTCCGCAGATTTACTATTTTCTCCCTAAAATCTGGATACCTTAAATACCGACCCGGCCTCCCAAATAAGCATAATAAAACTTAAATATTGATTTCATGACATAGTGTTATATACCAAATTGTTCAAAAATGGATTACCTTTAAAATGATATATAAATCATATTGAACAAAACTACTTTCATTCCAATTTAAAGTTGAGTATTGGTTTTTTGGCCCACCCTGTAGATAAGTGAATACTCAAGAGTAATGTTCACGGTCCATGACTTTTGGCTAGTGGGCAGCCATTTTGAAATATGGCCGCCAATTTTATATGAAATATTACATACTTTTAGCTGAGTACTGGATCGATTTTGTTGAAAACTCATATGTATACCAGGGGGGAATAACCCAAGGGTTCATTGAAGATAAATTTCTAACATGTAAATCTGTATTAAGAAGACATGTCGTCCCGATTGGTCAAATCGACAGACAAACAATTAGGCGGTTTCAAAATTTTCAAAACACGCTTCGAATAATATTATGTTAATTTCTGGTGTTTTGATTTATGTCATAGATTGTTACTTTGGATCAAGATAAAGAAAGGTGTAATAGATTTGCTTATTTCGATTAAACATCACAACGACGTTGGGGCTTTCCCCCTCTTATGTTCGCGTACTGTATCCACTTAGACATTTTACACTTTCTTATGATTATTTGGTTAGTAAGCGGTCATTTTGATTAATTGCGGCCATGTTATGTGTGTTGTTTTACTATTTATGCCGTAACTGAAAAGGTATTTGAGCAATTCTGTAAAAATTGCAGTCGTGGCTGTTCGATGGGATTTGTTACGCCGTGGCGTTGCTGTCATCTAGTTCTCTTTTCTCGTAGGCGATGATTTGGAAGAAGATGCTGAACGTGTGTCTTAATGGGATATGCTAACATAATATCTTATGTAGCATGTCAGCTACTGTGCCCCCGAAGGCCATAAGTGCTCTCTGGGATGGCCTGGTGGTTCCTTAGAAGCACCATGGAGGTTTTATAGTTGAATCTTGTGGTTTAGTAGAATCTACATGTACTAGCAGTTTTATAGTAGGAAAAAGTAGTTCCTTAGAAACTCCTACCGATTCCTGCTAGTATCTTTGCTAGTCCTAGCTGCTCCATTGAAGAATATCGTGGTTCCCCGAATTTCCTGTGGTTCTCTAGTAGTTCCTGGTGGTGCCTTTGACGAAGTTTCTAGAGAAGTTCTTTAGAAGGATATTGTAATCCCCAAGGCGCCATCATTTCCATAGGTACACCGGCCCGGTTCAAAGGTTATTTTTAAATTCCATTTTTAATTTAAATAATTCATAGCTGGCTACCTCAACACATGTTAATATTCTAAAGGAGGAGGGAAAGTATCGCAACAGATTTCGGACAGTCATATGTTGGATTTTGGCTATTCGCTGAGGATATAAATAGGTGCATATATTAGATCAATACATTACCTCCAGGAAAAGCACTCATATAATAGAGATGATAAAAAAATTTCGACTTTGAGACAGGGAAGATGCAAACAACCCACCCACATGTTTTCTTAAAATGTTTTCCCGATTTTCAACCCCTTCCACCCCTGTTTTTATTAAATTTTTCTTGCATCAATATGTTGAGTTTTTACACACAGGTACCTTTTAATTGAATAAGTGATTCCTTTTAGATAAAGTGAAATACAATATTTCCAGTGATATTTTCCAATAGGGAAAATTCATGTGATCCTTTGCTTTCAGCTAATTTGGTCACCCGTAATGGATATCTTTAAAAACCCCAAAGGAATCACTTACTCCTTTAAGAGGATTTACTTCTAGATAACCTCTGGAAAACGACTAGGGGCCACTACGGTGTAAAAGAAATTATGGTCCCCTGGGGATTATGGTCCCCTTTATAAACGGCCCTTACTGACCCTGATTGTGTATAAGATAATAAGGGAAAGAGTTGTATTTAGGTCACCATATAAATCAATGGAGAGTAGGACCATAATTTGATAGGACCTCCTACCCTTTTACACCGGTCATACTGTTGAACCGGTCCGGTCCATTATCACTCGCTGCGTTTGTGTATGGTGGTGAATGTTCGATACATTTGGAATTGGTATTTTTAATAATTTTTATGTCGAAAGTTATTTTAAAAATAGAACTGAATATTAGCAAATTCCATCAAGTAAGGTACTTATTACCACAGTAAGCTATTTAAATAAAACAACTCAATTCTACAGTCGGTAAAAATATAAATTCAGATTATATGCCTCTGCTGTGGTCCATTGTGTCAAATGAGCGAGAAGTTTGCTAAAGCTAGTCAAATAGAGTGATGTCTTTGGAATTCCTAAAAAGTGCTATTTGAGACTACTGAATTATTTAGACTGGCCTTTCTGTTTTTTAATGAACTGACTTAAACTCATAAAAGTGTCAGGAATAATGCTTGGTTCGAAAATATTTGACTTCAATAGCAAATAAACATTCTTTATTCCAGAGGGTTCATAAATATATTGGCATGTGTGGCAGATACATTGTTGCCCACCGTGCACGACTGGCATTTAATTATCCTCTATTTATTTTATACAAATTAGAAGGGATTAAGTTGGATCAATCCCGTTAACTATTCATGTACTAAGGTTAATGGTCATATTCTTGAATTTTTAAGATGTGTTTTTAAAGTTCCAAATGTTTCGACTTTTGTTGTGATATTCCTTCGATTTTTCTGGCAAAAAAAGCCAACAGCCCTGACTTGAATACAGTACATATATAGTCAATAAAAATGCGTTTGTTTGGCCAATATGTCATCTTCAATAAAGGGCAATAGAATGAAAGTAAAGTTGAACGGATTATCTCTTAATATATCATTAATCCACCCATCATCACCAATTTTCCGCAATAATGAGCCAATTTTCACCTAAAGTGCAGCATTTTATTTCATTTTTACGACTAAATTGAAATGTACTATAAGTCATGATTTACCTCTGAAAGGGAAGAGTGAGTCCCATTAGGATTAGGATAATCCGAAAATAATGGAAATTTGAGGTCAAATATCTGGCGTAAAGCAACATTTTTTGATGGATTATAAGAAATGGATTATGAGATAATCCCTTTCTTATTTATTTATTTTTTTCTTTTGGAGATTAATTATGTAGTATCCCCCAATCTTTTTGTACATGAACCAAATCAAAAAATGTTGCTTTTACACCAGATATTTGACCTCAAATTTTCATTGTTTTCGGATTATTATTAAAAAAATAGAGGTGGTATACGGATTTAGAGAGGCAGGACTTGTTCTTTTCCGACTACAGTTTAATTGATTTAAAACTGGCACATTTCAAAATGTTATTGTATCCTTATTTTTGACACTTTCCCTTTCTTGTGGTATATTCTGACCTTGGGACAAATGACGTCATTAGTTTGGCATTAACCTTGAAAGCTCGAGTGTTTGACATTCCTTTGCTCAACTAAAAGTTACAAGATGGAACTTCGCCGATTTACCACAAGCCCGAAGATGTTTATATCACGAGGGTTGTACTTTTTAGCCAATCAAATTCCTTGAAGCATCTTCGGCCATTTTCGGTCGCGGTACTATATCTTTGGTTGCAGCTTGACATGTTACAAAAATATGTCATTGAACTTCGTATTTAGCCTACTTATTAGAGCAGTGACAGCCCATGGTACAATGGAAGAAAGTTGCAAATTACAGACTTCAGACCAATTAATCGAACTGACATTATTTACATTAAATAACATAATGAATAACCTCAATTAAAGATTAATAAGTTGATTAATAGAAATCCATTTTTGAGAAATAAATTATTGAACGACGGCGTTTCATTTGAATGTATATTTTATATATTTATAGCGTTCTTTTTGCCTTCCCTGCGTGTTACTTGATCAGAATATCATAATAAATGAATAGAATTAAAAATTAAAAAGTTGAACGACATTACAAATGAACATACGCCTATTTTTATTATATTTTTATACGCCTATTCTTGCCCATTCTATTTTGCATTCCGTATCACCCTTGGTATACGCAGCTAACGAAAATTGACCGGTACGGGTCAAAAGCTGGACCGGCACGGGTTAACGGTTTTATTTGAATTTAAAACAGCCATAACTTGCTCAATATTGACTTCCTCGTGTCTAATTTGAAATATATGATGCCTCCCGATGCTATTAAATACCCCAATTTTTTACAGATTTTTAAACGGACCAAAACTCTCTAAATGCGCATTTATGCTCTTTTCAGCTATTGCCCCCCGAACCGGTCCGTCTTCTCGTTGCAAGCAGATTGCCCCAAACCGGTCCGTCTTCTCGCTGCAAGCAGGATGAAATTCTTTGTCACAAAGTTTGGCATTTTTTATAAAATCAAACGCGCGTCATTGAAACTCACAAGATGTAAATAGCATGTCATTTACATCATACCTTGATGGGGAAAAATAGATCTTATATGTTAGAAGTACTAAATAAAAGTTATCGTGAAAATGAGACAGTCGTTCTCGAGAGAAAAGAGCATAAATGCGCATTTAGAGAGTTTTGGTCCGTTTAAAAATCTGTAAAAAATTGGGGTACTTAATAGCATCGGGAGGCATCATATATTTCAAATTAGACACGAGGAAGTCAATATTGAGCAAGTTATGGCTGTTTTAATTTCAAATAAAACCGTTAACCCGTGCCGGTCCAGCTTTTGACTCGTACCGGTCAATTTTCGTTAGCTGCGTATACCAAGGGTGCGTATGATAAAAATGGTATAAAAGGGCCTGCAAGTTTAGTCGGCTCATTCGATGAACACTCAGTCATTGTACGAAACTAAAGTTTAACAATGAGGAGAGTTCATCCAATATTGAGTTTATTGTCCGTCGTTCTGATAATAAAATGCTGTGCTGCGGAATTGTCTGCAGTTGGTACCAATTTCCGTGCGTTGGCCATGCCAGAGAATGCTGCGGCGGAGAGGGATGCTATTCGAACATCATTCGGATACATTCATCCAGCTACGATTAACGCTGACGGCAGCTTCAACGATATAGATTACAATGACGCCGGGGGTTGTATGGAACATGGGGAACGCCTTAGCAAACTCATTCAAGCGTATTATCTTAATGTAACGGTAGATTACATTGAAAATTATTTTTATCGAAACTCAACTACATGGGAATGGGTTGTGAATTCATGGACGTTCATAGCCTATAATGCTCCCGACGTCACGGACTGGAACTGGTGGACGGCACAGATCGGTACTCCACGGTCCTTCTGGCAAGGCCTCTTCCTGTCAAGAGGAAAGATCAGCGACATATTGTACGACGATATGATCAAAAGGTATTGGACTGATGCTCAAGTTTGGAACATCTCAACCATAGATGGTAAAATGTCGGCTTCAAATATGGCCAATAGAGGATTCTTGGGGTTGTTTGAGACGTTCTATCAAGGTGAAGATCGTTTCAGTGACAGACAAAATGCTCTCTTTAAACGTTTGGAAAACGAAATCGAAGAAAAAAAATCATACCAAGGTAAGAAAACTTGTTTTCTGGAATAATAAGCATTGGAAGTAGGAATTTTTTATAATTTGAACAAATCTTTAAGAGGAAAAACTTTAAAATCAAAATTTTTCTTCGTTGTCTTTAACAGGAGAGGGTGTAGGAGCTGACTATTGTATCCACGTACATAACATACATGAGGGAGTATGGGAGGTCCCTTACTACAGTTCCCACCTCCGATTGATGATCTACAATGGCGGATACGGGGCGGAGTATCTCAAGAGATTTGCGTACATCTATATCCTTCTACAAAACACTGATTACGAGGTAGCCTTCTCTTTCTACCATATAAAAGTTAAACAAATTAAACAAATCCCGATGTAAAAAGAGAATGTATCTCCCAGAGATATATTGTTCCATAGCTGCCATTGCTTTAGGTTAGGTAAAACGTGAAGCAAGTATTTTAGGGGGCGGCTTCTTATGTTACACGAATCATTGACTTTTGGTCACGTTTCAAACAAGACAGTATATTTCATTTTAGATTGAAGAGGATGTGTTGTCAGAGTTCATCAATTGTTTCTTGGAGTGCCATCAATATTTGGTGCGTGGTCAGACATTTGAGCCATCCTCCGTCGGGCGTAATATCGATGATAACCAGCGAGTGACATATTGGGCGGCTTACGACTCCGTCTACAAGGTAAGTCCATATGCATTTCACCAATTCAAAATGTCATTCCTCGCACCGGTTTCCGGACAACTCGGAGCCAGGACAATCGGACCCTGGACAACTCGGACCAAAGAAATCTCGGACCCTGGACAACTCGGACCCAAGGCAACTCGGGCTACTTTTTGAAAAAGTAAACAAAAAATAATAAGCACATTTATGTAATTGCACTAATTAATCACTGAAAATAACATTGAAATTATAATTACTTTTTACATAATGCTAATCCAATCTATTCTAAATATGCTTAGGCCGCGTCTTTGAACGACCCGCGGTGAAAGTAATATTTAATAATATTTCCCCTAGGTATCACGAAAAAAACAATAAACCCCTGATGTTAACAAAAACAGTTCATCTAAGCGCACTTACACCGCTAATTGCAATGTGTCAATCTAATTGCGTGTGTCACTGTCAACCGAGCCGACTTGTCGCTGATGCACCACAGGAGTTCGATTGCAATAAACTCTGATGTTTTTCAAAAGAATTATGTGAGTGTAAGTTCGCTTGAATGACTTATTTTTGTTGAAAACACATGAGCATGTAATGAGCACTGCAGGACTTATTGTTCTTTTTATATAATTAGTGATCCCTTAACTTAAATTAAAATATTACGCAATTCACTAGCAACGCGGGTATACAAAAATACAGCATTAGATTAACGTCTTGGGTCTCATAAAATGTGTACGGATTTTTCATATTCGGAGTCATACCATGGACTATAGGCTGGGTTTTGTATAGAAAGCGAAAAAACAGTTTAACTCTAATTCTCAAGTTTGGACCAACGTGTCTTTTTACTAAAATTATCTCGCTTATTTGTGACTTGAAAATGGTTTGATGGAGGTCCCAAAACAAACTAGTAGAAAAGGCACAGGGTTAAGGTTAACCCCTCCCTTGATTCAGGCAGTAAGATAAAGATTATCATATTTTAGCAAAAAAACCAAACCATCGAATATCACTTCTCAAACCAGCGAATATCACTTCTCAAAGTGATATTCGATGATTTCAAAAGTGATATTCGATGGTTTCAAAAGTGACATTCGATGGTTTAGATTTTTCTAATAATTTTTTTGTCAAATTTTTTTCTAACATTTTTTTTCAAGATTTTCTTAAAAATTTTTTTAGATTTTTTCCTTCAAATTTTTTAGTCAAAAATTTTTTCCTTCAAATTTTTTTTCAAAAAAAAAAAAAAATTTTCGAAATCTTTTTTTTTAAATTTAACATTGTTTTCGCTGGGTTAAGATTTCCCATGGGATAAACGGACAATCCTATGGTTTTTCAAAAATATCAATTATATCCACTCATGGATATCAATATCTCCACTCATTCGCTGCACTCACTCGTAAAGATATCAATATCCACTCATGGATATAAATGATATTTTTTCAAAACCATAGGATATTCCTATAATATTTGAATGTTACGGTGATGAAATAAAGAAAAGCAAAAAGTCTTACCGAATTCTTGCACCGGAAGTTATGCCAAATTGAGACGAAGACATCATGTCTTCATTTCAGGTTAATCGCCACGTGTTACGTGTCACGTCACGTGTTATTTTATACATAGGTTATGGGCTGATATAAAGATGGCAGCACCAGAAAGAATTCAGTATTATCTTTTTTTCTCTATAGAGCTGAGAAACATAGATAAACACAGATCGATTACCATGCCATCTCTTAGCCTTAGCCTATGATTTTATAATTATAGGTAGCAGAATTGCTTTTACAACTTGACTTCCGCAGACAGGAATTAGAAAACGTGATTACAAGATACCTCAACCATGGTCCTACTAGCGCAGAAAACGCCCTCATTGGTAATCGGGCATTATTCGCCTCAGATATGATAGTCCACCATAGACAAAGTTACATGGCGAGTGTGCGTATGTTTTCTACTCGCACGGTCCGACCCGAGACGTGGGTGAGCGATCGCAGAACAATTAATCCATACGGGTAAAATACAATATATAATGATACATATATCGCAGATTCCTATTGGAACATAATCGTAATCAATCGATATTATATACAGTAAAACCTGTGTAACTGCAACACCTATGGTACATCTAAAAAGTGTTAAAAATGTGAGGTGTTTCAGTAACAGAGATTCATTAAACTTTATTTATTTATAATTGCATTATAATATAGAAATTCATACCTAAATTTTTCAAATCAACTTGCAAATCGCCATGGATATAATTCTTATTCCGCAGATACTACACTGGAGATGGATTTGTGTTTCTGTCCCAGGACGACAACGAGTTTGGAGAACGATACAACGAAGTTTTCCAATATTATGACTGGGAAAAGATTCCAGGTATAGTACTACAGTGAATGTGGATATCTATTACATTCTGAATCAAATAAGAGTAGAAAAGAAGACCAGAGTGAGGTCGCACTAGTCAGTAGAGCAATCCATAACTCAGTTTCTCTATTCACTCATTACTCGGTTTCTTATTGTTTGGTGTTCATCATATTGTAGGTACAACGGTTTTATATAGTGGAAGTGTACCCCAGGAAGGGATGGAGAGAGTAGGAGACACTCCGAACTTCCCCCATCATATAAGTAATGCGAAGTTTGTTGGCAGTGCCTCTGATGGAATGTACGGTGTTGCCGCAATGGTCTACGATCGTCCAACGGTTAATATAACATTGAAGAAATCTTGGTTTTTCTTTGATGATGAAGTCGTCTGTCTAGGAAGTGATATATCCCTCCGCGAAGAATATACCTCTAATGGTCTTCCTATAATAACTACGCTTAATCAAGTTGTCCAAGATGGCGAAATTGCATTTATGACTACAACAGGGTCGTTGCAATATGTAAATTGGAACAGTAATGTAAATATCCCAAATGCCAAATGGGTTCACCACGACAACACGGCATATGTGTTCCCAAATGGAGCAGATGCAAGCGTCGATTCGCGTGAAAAGACAGCAGAAAGTAACATTTTGAATGTCACAACGATGTGGATTGAACATGGTTTTGAACCGTACGCTTATATTATACATCCAAATGTTACAGTTAACCAACTGGAAGAACGCCTTAGTACATCGTCAGTGGCGATCAAGCAACAAGACACAAACGCACACGTCGTGTACCACTCAACACTTGATATACTCTCCGTCGTTGTATTCAATGGTCCGTTTTCCATCGTTCACCCAAAATTATCGTACTCCATAACGGTTGACCAGCCTTGTATTTTGATGATTCAGCACTCTGGTAACAACATCACATTGACCGTTTCCTTCCCGACACAGTTACCCACGACAGTTAATATTACGTTAGGCCTGAATGTATTCGGAAAAGGTTCATATTATAATCCAGATGAACAACTGTCTATCGTACTTTTCTCTTTCCTTGATAATTATAAAACTGTTGGAAAAAGTCAAATCAAGACCTACGAGATTGTCCCAGTGGCTACTATTCCAAACACTAACGTTGCTGAGATAGTTGTTGATGCTGTCGATGGCGGAAATGCAGATGAACCCATTGTAAATGAAAACGAAGTCATTGCAAATGCAGATGAAGTGGTTACAACAGATGAAGTCGTTGAAAATACAGATGAAGTCGTTGCAAATGAAAACGAAGTCATTGCAAATGCAGATGAAGTGGTTACAACAGATGAAGTCGTTGAAAATACAGATGAAGTCGTTGCAAATGAAAACGAAGTCATTGCAAATGCAGATGAAGTGGTTACAACAGATGAAGTTGTTGAAAATACAAATCCATCCGCTGCAAATGATGACGTTCTAGACACAGATGAAGTCGCTGAAAATACAGATGAAGTCGTTGTAGATGATGTTGATGATGAAGATGACGAAAATGAAGAAGAAGAAGAAGAAGAAGAAGAAGAAGAAGAAGATGCTGATGATAACCTAGGAAAGAAAGAGGACTCAAAGCGTCAAAAGAACCCACATCGAGGCAAAAATAAGAGGAAACGAAACGTTGACTAACATTAACTACGTATTGTGCATACATAGGGAACATGTGTGGTATCCTAGGAATTAAAGGCCCCATTTTCCCATTTTACCGTGTTGTATTGTCGTGTCCATGTATCATCGGGCCTTAGTACATAGTATGATGGCTTTGGTGAGGTCTTTTAATCTCTTGAACACTACCCATGGAAAAGTGAGCCCCCTACACAGGAGTCGTACCAAATTAAGATGACAGTTGAACGCACGGGGTATCTAGACTATCTGAATATTACCATTGTAAGGATTTCTATTGAATGTAATGAAATTTCAAAATGACTCATAACCTGCAGGGAAGATTGGGGTACCAGTGTAATGATCCATATTGAATGTAATGATATTTCAAAGTAGCATGAATTTTATCAGATTAATGGAATCATTTTGAAATTGTATTTGTACGGTTAATTCCAGATCTTTCTGAAACGATGAAAACATCAGTTTGCTCAACTTTCATTACCCTTGTGTTATGTCACGGTTTAAGGGTAGTGAAAATAGAGATTTTCAATGTAATGATATAAACTGTGCAAACGTTTTTACCTTACCCAGCGCGTTTAACTGTCACGCTCAGTTTGGTAGAGCCCCTGTGAGTATGCTTGGAACATTTATTTCACCTCTGAAGTACAAAAGGTTTTTATTAAGGGATATGTGTACGTTTGGAATTTTTATACAGCCCTCTTTCGAGTCACACGTTTATTTCTAGTACAAAAGGTTTTTATTAAGGGATATGTGTACGTTTGGAATTTTTATACAGCCCTCTTTCGAGTCACACGTTTATTTCTAGTACAAAAGGTTTTTATTAAGGGATATGTGTACGTTTGGAATTTGTATACAGCCCTCTTTCGAGCCACACGTTATTTTCAGGAATATATAACTCATTTCATATACGGTCTACATCTTTCACATTCGTACGTAGAGTGCACTAAGGTACCTAGAAAACACTCTAGGAACATTGGTACACCGTCTGTGCAAAACTGAAAGATGTAGACAATGTTTGGAAAGAGGAGTCCATATTTCAAAAATAACATGTGACTCTGTGAGGATTGCATCAAAATGTTCCAAAGTTCACAGTCACCTTAAGCATGGTTCGATCAATTATTTATCTGCTATATTATATAGCTTTTACGTAACATAAAGGCTGCATATATCAACTTTACCATGTTCCAAATTTTCCGGACCACCCTGTACTGTGTCCAAAAAGAAACGTTAGTAGATTCAAAACAGTAAGATATAACCGATATTTTTTATTCAAGATATTGATTCTAACATCCTACCTAAAATACAGAGAAACAGGGTCAAGTGAGCCCCTCTCTTCTCCCACCGATAAGAGCTATAATGACGCTGTACAAGACAATGGACATTTTACTTAGATTTAAAAGTTTAAGAACCATTCCATTAAAGGTCTTGTTTCCAAATCTTTAAATGACCGCGGAGCGGGATTGCAAAGTTTAGGAAACAACGCCTGAGTGGAATGAACCAGCCACAATACATTGAATCTTGGGCTTAAATTATTTTCACACATTGCAAAATATTTTCTACAAAATCACTTAAAAGATACAAAATGACTTAATTAACATATTTTCAATGGAACTTTTTGCAAGAGTCAAGTTGGCAAAACAATTTCAATCTCCTCACCTTGACAACAAAACAACTAATGCGTATTTGGTTATATAACGGAATGCATACGTGAAATGGATGCATCCCTTCAAAACGCAGCTGTCTTCGCTGGTTCCCCTGATATATTTACAGGGTGGGCCAAAAATATATATATATTTAACTGTCACTTAACCTACAACTTTAACTCTATTCACATGAACCCTATCTTTAATTTTAGACGTGTAGCAAAAAGGCGGCGCATTTGTTTTTTAAGGGAATCGCGTGAATGTAACTTTGATTCCCCGGATTATAAGCTAAGATAATATTCTAATTAAAGTTATATATCATTTTAAAGCTGTTTCGATGAAGTTTTTAGATCAACTACACTCACGATTCTTGCGCGTTCTTTTTTAAAAAAGATCTGGCAAATATCCCCTGTTGACACGTTACATTTTGATTTATTTTTCGTCTTTAAACGCTCATAACTCAATCAATATATGACTATTATATTTATTTTTCGTCTTGATAAAGGTAGATGGAAGTTTTATTTCAAAAGATGAATTTTAGTAAGCGTCCCATATTGTGACGTCATAGAGTTTGAAAAATAGAATCTGTTGACAGCGACCTTTTTGCTCATTTTTTGCTACCTTCAACTTTTCAGGTGTACATTAAACAAAAAATACGAGATCAATTTTTTAAAAATCATGGATGATTATTTTGCTCTTAAACTCTAGTTTATTAATAAATAATTGATTTTGTTCGCAAAAGTATGTGTTTTCTGTTGTATGTGCAAAAGTGGAGGACGAAAGGTTTTCAAAATTCATTAAAATAGGGCTAATTTACGCCATTCGCCTATTTTCAAGCACAGCAACACGTATATTTATTTCACCTAAAATATCAATTGATTCGTGTTTTATGATGCTCCTATCCCATTGTTAATACATAAACGATATCAGAGTTATTCGCCTTAAATACTTTGAGATCTAGAGGCAAATGTTGAGGACGAAAGGATTTCCATATGTGTACATTTTTCTCGAAAAAAATCACATTCTGTGGTGTTAAAAAGCGAAAATGTGTAACAATGCGTGCGCGACCTTTTTGCGACACGTCTTACAAATGTGCAAAGATTGGAGTTTTGTTTTGTAGCATTGTTTTGGAAATATACATGTAGTACTTATGGGACATTTTTTCTTTTTTTGTCCGTTGAAGAGAACTTTAATTTCATTGCTCTCTGGAAGAGTATTTGCACTAGAAGAGTCCTGCACATCAAAAGAGAGAATCGACACTAGAAGAGTACTTGCATTAGAAGTGTATTTGCATTAGAATTGTACTTGTGCATCAGAAAGACTAGAAGTTTACTTGAATAAGTACCTGTGCATCACAGACTTGCTACATGTACTTATGCTATAATAGTGTTTGTTCAGTAGAAAATCACTTGCTCTAAACGTGTACTAGAATAGTACTTTTCTAATGTAAATATATGAATTTACTTGTAAAAGGGACTTGGTGCAAAGACATCAATAAATACTTGATTTCTTGTAATATATTTGAGTTTTGTTGGAGCAAATGCGTCGCATGCTATGTACATCTAAGTGTCGATATACGTTTTGAGAAAGGGATTTAAACTAGAATCTGGGAACAAATTGGATGATAAAATTACCTACATTATTATATCAATGTCATACTCCCCCTCTCTCATTGGTCTATACATTACACGTGACATAAAATAAGACCGTATTCAACGGCTGCGCATTTGACAGAAAAAAGGCGTATCCAATGCGTGTATTCACCAGGTGTGGCGTTTTGATTTTTGGGAAGACACCTAGCGTGAGAAAATATGTGATAGCATTGCAGCAGTGGTAGCTAAATGGGTGTGATCACCCATTTTTCAAAATGGCCACCGGTATAAATGAATTCTTCAATTACTTAGCTTTATACATAAATGGAATTAACCTCTAAAACCCTATCATGGTCTGCAAAAGCACATTTTAACTGTTCTTTGAGTTTATATCAATCGTTACATATTCCTTTTGGCACTCACTTTGGCGGCCATCTTGGATTTCCATGTAAAGTAATTCAATTGGTTACTTAGAGTTAGACATTAAGAAAATCGTCAACCTCTAAAACCTATTCATGGTCTCCAAAGTCACTTTTAACCGTTCTTTGAGCTTATGTCAATAATTACATAATCATTTTCACACCCATTTTGGTGGCCATCTTGGATTTCAATATAAAGCAATTCTTTGGTGACTTAGATTTCAACATAAATGAAATCCTTGACCTCCGAAACCTAGAAATAGACCTCAAAATCATTATTTTTGTCTCTCATTATATTTAGATATAATTAATTGTTTTTGATAAAAAGCTCACTGGCGGCCATTTTGAAAAGCGGATGATAACACCCATTTAACTACCACTGTTGCAATGAATGCACACCCGAAATGTTAACTTACAATATCCTCAAGAAAAAACAGATCGAATTTATTATACGTCAAAGCACAATGTCTTATGAACGTACCCACCAAAGAAAAATCGGTAAAAAATCGGTACATTTTTTTTCTTGTCATGGTTTTATCTCCTCTCCCATGAAGAGCTCCATAGTTAGTGGCCGAGTCACTCAATATTAAGCAGTGCCGTATAAATGCTCTGTTTTTCTGCAGTGAAAACGAAATGAACTTCAAGCTGCCCATGTCAATTTGTTCCATCAACTTACTGTACTAAATGACTCACCAGTTATGTTACATTTCTTAGAAAAATTGGCCTTGGTAATTGTGACATCAAAAATGTTGCATTAAATCCTTTATTGAGCACAATATGGCAAAATTATTCAATGTTTACTCAAAAACAGTTCGCATGCTTCTCAATTATAACGTTTCGGGTACCTTTCCGAAGGTCTATGCCTAAGCAATGGCTAGTAATCGTAAAAACCCGCAATTTTGAAGCCAGCAAAAATAAACAATTGAATAAATAAAAAAAATCCTACATGATGACCCTGTTTATGTACATGTTGTGATTAAACATGCACATGTTGATTGACATACAAATAATCCACGGTTTTAGAGAATTTTAGCATTGCATCTATGGATATTTTGCCCAAGTTTTTTTAAATTATCTATATGGAAACTATACTTTAAGGTAAGAGGGGGAGAAACCCCAGGGTTCAAAGATGACATACGCTTATAATGTAAATCTGTATTGAGATGACATCGTCGCTGACTGGTTTAGCGAGTTGATCGTTGATTGGTTTAAAACTAGGTCAATTTGAAAACTTTGAAAACCCAAGATGGAGGGAAGTATAAATATACGTACTTCCGGGAAAGGAGGTGCGCGAAGGAGGAAATCGTATGTCATCAATTGAATCATGGGGTTTCCCCTCCTCTTCTTTAAGG